TATTTCTATCTGGCAAATATAAACCTCATTTCTTTTTACCCATTTCATCGTACTGTCAAATATAACTTTAAATTGCAATTAATTATTGTCAGTTGTAGATGAATTTGAATATAATCAAACAAGTTCTTCATTGAATATGTAGTATTTATGCAGATAGTATGAATATGCATAAAAGCATATAATATAGTCATACTATCTGCATAAATGCATTCTAAATAATGATATAATTCAACTAAACAAGTATTTTTATATCACAGTGCCTAACACGTGTAAATCAGACTTTTTGCGATTTACATTTTTGTGCTCGCCAAGTAATTATTACAAATGCAGTGAAAATATTTTTGGTGTTCAGTAATTGTGCAAATTATAATAATTATACTGAATGATATGCTATATCATATTGAAATTATTCATATATAGACAATATTTACTTTTGGCGGTAATTTTATGCCATCAAAGTGCACTAAGCATGACATATAATAATTGTGGGCCATTAACTTGTGTGTTTACGTTAGTATCAATAAAAGTTTTATGGCCTACTAAATTATGACTAACGATAAAACATTCGGTTAAATATTTGTTAGCTAATAATTCTAATATGTGCAGCATATTCCGGCAAATATTTTATGACAAATTAATATTGTTTAATTAGCTTTTGATGTCTGCAAAATATTAGCTGAAGAATTTTCATTCTCTCAACATTCCAGCTGTATTAGTCTAGCCTGTTTAACATTAACATTTGCTTAATATGCTGAATGTACTTTTTTTTACATTTTTTTTTTTTAAACTTTTTTAAACATTTAAGTTGACAGCGGGCAGGTGTCAGTAGCACAAGTCAATAATTAATATCGACTATAATAAATAATGCAATAGATTGAGAACCAAAAAAACAAAGTCATCGGCAGGCCGAAGATGAAATACCCTTGCAGAACTATGGTATATGATCTGCCGAGATATGTAAGGAAATAGTGAAACTCTTGTAGAGATCTAGAAAAACACATAATATTGCAATAGATACACTCCCTTTTCGAAGGATTCTACGTATAGGGCTATTTGGCATACAAGAGCGATGTTGACAAGATATGGCTTTTATATAGAGAGAACAGTTAAATTTATAAATGCCAGATTCGACTGTGATATCTTTATAAGCAAATAAAGTTTGCAAGCTATATGATATAGTGCTCCGATCCGATCAGTTCCGACTGTAATTGGCGTTAACTTCAAAAAATTATAATGGAAAGGCAGAGAATACTTAAACAAGAATTGTTAAACATTACATGACGAAATTATAATACCTTCAAAAAGGACATAGAAAATGTTCAAAAACTAGAACAAAGCTATTAACCCATCGATTGCTCTGGCAGCAATATAATGTAATAGGATTAGATCATCCTTGGTAGCCCTAGCTATGTTATTATGCTTTTCTTAAATTTATTTCCTCAAATAGTTTTATTTAACAAGTGCCAATTTTAGCCACACTTTTAATGCCATTGACTTTCTGAGAGTATACAAATATTCTATAGCACAATAAGATCTACTGTTGAAAATTTCATCAAGATCGGATAAGTAAGTACTACAATAATTTAGTGGTCCAAACCGGTCGAGGTCTACTTCTATGCATTACACAAGGCATGACAAAGTTGTAATGCCCGCAAAAAGGGCATAATTAGGCAACTGCAATTACCAGGCACACAGACACGCAAGAGAAAACCACAACATGAACAACTGTTAATTATCTAGCAATGAGTCAGGGCTGTGGCTAATTAATCAGCGAATGTTGGAGCTCTGGCTGTGACTGTGGCTGTGACTGAAGGCGTGCTTGGCAACTGGCAGCACACCAAAGTCCGAGCCAGGCACATGTTGAACCCATATGGTAAATTTATGTACATGGATAACTTCGCATGGTTGAGTTGGACTTACCGCAATGAGCCAGATCGATGATGGGCACCGCAGATCGCGAGAGCAGCGTGTCCAGCTTGTCGTCGCTTGATTTTGTTTTCAGCATTTTGCCTGTGTGTGTGTGTGCTGGTGTGTATGTGTGAGTGTATCTGTGTGTTGCTTCTGGCGCAACTCTTTCTGCAGTTCTTTGGTTTGGCAGTTGCGAAACGCTTTATCACTGTTCAATATTTATTTGTTTATTGTCTGTCGTCTGTTTCTGTATCTCTTTGGTTATTCAGCTTGACGACTAAGCAACTAAATTGTTATTATTCTTTTAGTTATTGTTGTTGTTGTTGTTGTTGGTTTTTGGTTCGCTTCGAGTGGCTGGTGGCTTGGCACCTAAGCGCAGCCAAGCGTTGTCAAATATATGGGCACATATATAAATAAAAGCCAATATCAAAACAAAAACAAATCCCACAGCAAACGTCTATCAAATCCAATTGGACAGCGGGGCGGGGGCCGGGGGCGTTTCTTTAGACGCCTCGTAAAAAAATCGCGCGTGGTAATTGAACGTAACCAAACGGAAATCTACGTTGCGATCGCGGCGCGTTTCTCTGTTTAACTGATCGGGTATGAAATCGAGTTGGCGTTTTCTTGAACATTCCTCAAGTTGCCTCTGCTGCCGTCGCTGTCGCCGTCGCCGTCGCTGCCGCTGCTTATCGCACCTTTGGCTTTGCGGCTGAGAGTGGCGCATGTTATGGGAAACTTAAGAGGCTAGGCATGAATTCGCACTTGTCTGCGTCACACACAAACACACGCAAGTCACAGTAAATTTGTGTGTGTGTGTGTGTGTGTGTGTGTGTGTGCCCGCACTCTCGGTTGTGCGCCGCAATTAGATAAAAATGTAATCAAATCAAATTTTGTGATAAGTAAATTAGCACTTGTCGTTTGTGCAATGCGAACGGACGTACGCAGGCAGGGAGGGAGGAAGGGTGGCGGCTAAGAAGGCACTGTGGGACGGCAGGAAGAGACGGCAGACAGTCTGGCGGGTGAGGAGCACATATGCTAAACACACGATATTTGCACTACAAAGTATCTCAAAAGCTGCTGCCGTGAGGTCTCATCAACAGGTAGCTGCCAGCTCGCTCGCGAGTCGCGATATTCAGGTAACGCGCACAAACACACTTAAATGCTGCTCTACACACACACACGCACACACACAGACACTTGCATGTACATAGGCGCAAGTGTGTGTGAGTTTTTAGCTTCGCTTTGTGTTTTTATTCGCAAGCCAATACAGATACGTTTGTCGAGTTGTATACGTGTGTGTGTGTGTGTGTGTGTGTGTGTGTGTGTGTGTGTGTGTGTGTGTGTGTGTTTGCTTGTATGGGACACACTCGCTGGCGCAAATGTATCTGACAGATCTCGTTTAACGGCACTCGCACACTTGGACTCAGGTGTGCCCTGCTGCTGCCGCAGCTTCACCCCTTGGCGACCAGCTGAGCTCTAAAGCCGACGCGTCGTGCCTTAGCTCTGCCTCTCTGCCTCTCTGCCTTTGCTTTTGTTTTTCTTTTTGTTTTGATAGCGTCCATATATGTATGTTTGTATGTATATGTATCTCTGGTTGCCGCGGCTGTTGCCAAGCGGCATCACAGGAAACGCCAGATGAACAAGAAGCGGCTATGCAAAGTCTGCAACGTTTGCATCTTCAGGGATGGCAACAACAGAGGAAAAACCCTAACTGAACGTGTGCGTCTGTGTGCGTGTGTGTGTGTGTCAATCTATCTGATTGCGCGTGTGTGTGTGTGTGCGCGCATGAGTAAGCGTTTCTCCAACATATATTTGCATTTTAAAATCAAATCTATTTTCAGACAACTTTTTTCTGTATTCACATTCGAAGTTTGTCGAGTTTTCGAGCTATCGGCGAAAAATCGCTTTCTTTTTTCGCACAGATTTCCCTTAACAGGTTTCAACGTCACCAAAAAAAGTTGCCAAGCAATTCTTTAGCTTTGTTTTTGTTTTTTGTTTTTTTTTTTTACTTTTCGCACACTTTCAACACACGCGAACGCGAATTTAACCTAAATACAATATAAAAAAATGCGCACGCCAACAGTTGAGCCAAGCGCATATACCTATATACCTGGCAACCAGACCAACAACAACAACAACTGCAATAGTGTAATTATAGCAACAACAACAATGAACGACACTTACAACAAACAATACGCAAACGACAACGCGCCAACGAGCGGAAGGTACGCGTCTGCACTTCACCACATTTTCGCCAACACTGCGAGGCGAGTTTTAGTTTCAAATTCAATTTGCCTGCAACTTCAGCATACACACACATTGTCACATACAAGCAAACATACATACACATATGTATCGAATAGTGACATAGATACATACACAGATACACATACATCATTTGTCTAGCATACTTTTAGACAGCCCATTAATTTGTTGAGCTACGAGTTGAGTCGCAAGACAGAATGTTATGCGTCAGACAGTATGGCAAATGTGCTTATAAATCATATATTAATCATCGTAAGGAGTACACAATTTGGTAAATATTTCCTGAATCACGCTTCTTCTCTGGGAAATCTTTTATCTCGGGTTCAAGTTAGTCAACTGTTCTTTATCGAATTTTCGCAGATCTGTCCATATCAAATATTAGTTATAAAAAATACGACAATTTTTAAAATACTCTCTCTTCACGATCTCTGAATAAAATGATATTTATATATATATATATATATATATAACAACATATTTTAACAACATTCTAAATTAAGGTACGATTCGTACATTTGACAAGCCCAGCTCCTTTGTGTTATTTTTGCTGGGATATAAATCCCAAATTAGTCAGCTCCTTGGCGGCACTTTAATAAAAAATGAATACGTATTCAAATTACAAGTTCCACGAAATTAATTGGGAAATCAATTCTCTGAGTCAGGCTCAGCGGCACGTGCGCGCCATCTAGCGGAAATTATTAGTACCTTTCGATTTAAGTGCCTGAAATTCGCAAAGCATACTTTTAGGCACGAACAAAATATACAATTCAATTTGTATTGTTTATTTGTGGTTTTCAAAATATATTTTACAATTTACATATTATTGTTTATTTTTAAGCGAGTTTTCGAATTTAGAAAAGAAAATGGCAAATAAAATTGCTGCTAATGACAATTTGGTGTTTTGCCATCTGCTGTATGTCTTAGATTTTCATTGCACGCCAATCAATAAAATAAAAACTACACACGTATCGAACAACTAAACTAAAATATTTGGTTCTATTTATACTTTGCCATCGCGTCAAGTGCAATGTTTGGGTACTATTTTCCTTTGCGGCCACATACTCATTTCTGACTTCAAATACTACGCAACGAACCTAGAAACCTAGCTAGAAAATGTAATATCCAATGTACATACACCCAGCATGATCTGTGTATATACCTAAATGGGTTAAGAAAGTGTATCTTCACAATAGACGTGTACAGGCTATAAACCTAACTAACGAACGCCGCATTCGCATTTGGCTATCGATCTTAAGGCAAAATATGAAAAGTCGGCTCCTACTCCTGTTTAACTGCCAATTTGGCCTGTGCCGCCAGCTTGGCCTGCGCCGCCTGCTTGGCTTCTCGCTTGTAGTTGTGCACATAGAAGGAGCTGAACATGTAGGTGAAGAGGCCGGCATTGAAGGTCAGCAGCGCCGCAATCGATTTGGGGAAATTGCAGTTGGGCTGGAACTGAATTTGCAGCGTGTGCACAAAGATGATAAGGAATTGCACCTGTTGGGAAGAACAATATAGTTGAGCAGGTGCATCAATAACAAGCTCATTCTGACTTACAATCTGGAGAATGGTAATGTACTTCTTCCACCAGAGATACTTCTGCACCTTGGGTCCCATGGCCGACAGCAGATAGTAAGCGTACATAATGATGTGGATGAAGGAGTTGATGAAGCCCAACAATGTGCCATGACCGCCGGCGAAGTACTTGACGCCAATGAAGGCGCAAACGGGCATCAGCGTGTGATGGTACAGATGCAGGAACGAGATCTGGCGATCCTTCTTGCGCAGCACAAAGAACACCGTGTCCAGCAGCTCCGTTATCTTGGCAATGTAGTACAGCCAAACAGCGCGCGCCATCTAAATAGAAACCGCAGCATTATAATTGATAGATAGAGTATATTATGGTGCGGCTTACTCTCATGGAGATGGGATCTGTGGCATAGGTTACGGGCTGGCACTTGAAGTTGTAATGACCGCCCCAGCCGCCCTTGTAGCCCTCGTAGAAGAGCACCCAGCTGAGCAGCACCTGTACCGCATTGTAGATCAGCAGCGTGTTCTTCAGCTCGAACGGCTTGCGGTCGCGCATATAGCGCGGTCCGGCATACAGGCAGAAGTACAGGTAGGCGCCGAGTATCATGAACAGCGGTCCGGGTGCATTCGAGAGGAACCAGCTCTGTGGAACGAAATCCAATGCATGAGTCTAAGCAACTGTGCTGATAGATTTATTAAACTTACCTTTGTGCGCAGATCCTCGTGCTCCACAAAGAAGTTGACCATCTTGTCAACAATGTTCTGTGTTTCGTTCAGTCTGACCGACATTTTGCCAACTGCAAGTAATTTAAACAAATATATGATCAGCAGATAATCTTTGGTATTAGCAAATGCTGTATATTTAGCACCTGGGCCACCTTTGATGCAGTGCGTCAACTGCTATTTGATCTACTGTTGGCCGACGAGCATGTTAATCACGAAGGCACACAAAATTGCGAAAGCCAAGGCGAAGCCGCGCCCACGCGCGACCCATGCGACATTATTAATGGGATATTTGCTGTAAATAAGCTATAATGCAAATACGGCATAGCTCGCTAAACTATCTAAATATAGATAAATATATAGAAATATCAGGGCTGCATCGAACCCGAAATTCCAGAGTTGAGCCTCAAACCAAAACAGTTGCCCAAATGAACCAAAACTCAAGCCGAACCACATATTTTTAAGATTTAAAACAAAAAGCTTTTAAGCAATTTTACGCAATTTTACCAGATATAGCTAGCTGCCACTTTTATGCATGGATCAAAAGGGCAAGCCCCTTTCTGAGCCCTTTAAGTATATATATTCTTGATCAGGGCGACGATCTAGCCATTTCCGTTTATCTATCTATCTGTCTGTGCGTCGTAGATATATATCTAGCTATATATATTTTTCTATATCTCCTTTCATGTTCATTATGTCCATTAAAATAGATTTTGAGAGACAATTTAAAAGATGTATGATATATATAAGCTCCCGTATGAACTTATACGGATTTAAAGTATTTAACTTTTTTTCCCCAAAATCAAGGAAAATAACTCTTGTTAATAGGCAGAGCTTTCGTTCAAACATTTGGCTCTCACAATTATGCCCTGATAATTTGTATAAAGATCGGACTATAGAACGACTACAAAGATGCAGGGTATCTCCTAGTCAGGCTCTCCTGAGCAGAGCACGCCCCTTGGTTTATTCATGGCCGAATTTGCCGAACCTCAAGGCGGACCTACTCAAAAGAGTAGGTTCTTATTATAAGCCGTGGCTACAAATAATTTGTTGTTATTATATTTTTAAATTTATTTTTGCAGCCCTGATTTATACTACGCACTGCACTTTGGTGCAAGTTATCTAACTAATGTGTATATGAACATGTAAATTAGTCAAAGCGTCGCAGGTTTCCGTGGCAATAACCCTGCTGAATTTCTGCTTAATCAGTTCCTTTTTTTTTTAAAGCAGCTCAAAACTTTGCCTTGTCTCAGCACAAAAAAAAAAACAATTTCTGTTTTCATGTACATTTTTGTAAAATTGTTTTACAGCCTTTTTTTTTGTTTTTCGTTTTGTTGTTGTTTTGTTTTAGCTTGAATTACAGGCAGCCAGGGATGCGAGTTAAAAAAAAAACAAAAATGGATTGTATATTTGTTGTAAATTACAGGCAGCAAGATTGGACACGGAACTGGTTTGATTTCTGTAGCCAAATTATAGTCGACGTTGAGTTTTATTGTCATCTAGTTTTTGTGTAAGTGGGAATAACCCAGCCAGCAGCAGCAGCAGCAGCAGCAGCTGAAGCAGGAGCAGGATAGTTCAAGGACAGGCAAGTCGAGGGCATTGCGGCCAAGGAGGAACCTGTTTGCCTGCCACAGTTGGCTGGGGCAGTTCGATCACAATAATTGGCCAGCTAGATAAATGATATGATGCGAATCAAGTCCTTTGTGGCGTTAACTAAGCGACTTTCGATTGACTGCAACACATGATTAACTCCTTTGGAGCTTGGCCTTGAATCGGCTTTGGCTTTGGGGGCGCACTTCGTGTGCCAGTTGAATGCATTCCATGGCGCAATTCCACTTCAACAAACTGGCATAAATCTAGTGCAAACATCAGTTGCGACAAGTCTCGCTGAGAAATTTAGATTTTGTTGCCGTTCTAATTATGACGCTTGCCACTCGGCGGCGGGCGTTGCATGCAAATTTGCGCGTCATTCTCTGAATTGTAACAGACCGTAACCAAAAACCGAAACGAGCCCAAATGACGCCCATTTTTTGGCCAGTCATCGTTTCATTTTTGTATAGTTTTTGTTGGCAAGCCGCGAGAACTTTGTTTTTATTTGCCATGGTTAACATGCACTTAACCCAATCCGACACGTGCATCTTGCCGATGAGCAGAATTAACAGCCTATCTGCGATGCAATTTGCTTGTACAAGATCACATAATATTAGGCAAGAGCTAATAAACATATCCAGATTTGGCTCAAATGTTACGCAACCTATCAATATTTACATATATACTATATATATAGTAGCTCGTATATATGCCTGCTTCTATCTAGGCGCATGTTCATGTTAATCAGGAAGTTGTCTTCATGTTTAATTCAGTCTCAAAACTAGAATCAAACTTGTCTCGAATTTCATCAACTTTCGATTGAGCGTGTGTGTTTTTTTTTTAAGATGCCCAAGTGACCTTATTTATTTGGGCGACTGAGCGATGAGCTTCAGGGTTTGATTAAGCACAGAAGGTCAAAGGGTTTTACAGTACTTTTCCATTTTTGAAATTGTCGAATTTATATTTATGTATACCGCCATATTTTACAGGAATTATTCAATATATTATAGAATATATTCCAAGCTACGGCTAACGCTTTCATGATGAACTTCGGTATTTAAAGGCTGATTCATATTTAATTTTAATAATAATATATTATAATAAATTTATGATATTATACCCAAATGTGTGTGCATACCCAGTTTATCCAAATACACAAATACTTTTGATCTCTTCATGAAGCGAAAAAACTACCTGCCTAGTTTGGTGAATCTGGCACTTAGAATTTCCGGGCTATGCTTAAAATACTCTGTCTTATGATCGATATTTATCGATAGTATGAATAGGAGAGATATCAAAAATATGTACACGGCCAGACATGGCAAGTTCGACTCAGCTCGTCGTGTTGATCAAGAATACATAAACTCTCTGGGGCCGTAGATGTTTTCTTCCGGCTATTAGATACACAAGGAAAACTCTGAGATAAGTGTGAAAATAAATAACTATTGTAAATCTTTACGAACGCCGTTTCCTATGACAGTTCTATGATATTAAGCTTAGCCAGTTTTATACATAACTGAGAGATAAGTTGTCTTTAAGCTGAGCTGCAAATAAACAAGGCGGCAGATTGTCTGCCTAAATGAAATATGTTAGTTTTGTAATATCTAATAAGAAGAGTTTCCCATTTAAAAGCAGACGAAAAGAACGCTTTTATAGAGTAGAAATACCATACCTTAAAGAGAATACGAAAACAGATTATGTTCCTTAGGGAAAGTTGCCCAAATGGACATGTTTAGACGTTTGCACTGATATGACTAATATATATAAGATAACCGAGCAGATTATACAAATTTTATATTCCTGTTTTTATTTGATTTTTGTTGATTTGCTGGCAGCGGCATTTAATTCCAAGCCCGCCCCAACAACTTTATAAATGGCAAAATTTCTTGATTCGGGACTGGACTTTGCCTCTCAGCCGATGACAACCGGCAATTAATATATATGTATACATAGACCCCCGTCTCTTTTTATATATGCATATAATATATTCCAGATGCTGCATATACACATCGGCATATATATATATATATATATATATATACACACAATATCACGGCTCATTCTAAGCAAACAGCGCTTGGACCTATGCTGTAAATTTAGCATATTTATTTACTTGGCTATTAATTTCCTAAACATGAGCAACGTTCACATGCAAATCAGCTAGAATTTGTCGATGTGTGTATTGTTCCCGAATACTTGAACGCTCAAAAATGCTGAACGTATGATTTCTATAATTTGTTCATCCCGAAAACGAGCTCACAACACGATTGCGCCCACAAGGCGAACATGGCCGAAGGTTTTTCTTTTGAAGGTAGCTTAATAGAGATTGGTCTATCAATTAGCGTGGCAATTGCAAAATTGCGTACACATTGTTGTTGAAAAAAAAAAAAAAATAGTAAAAATAGTGTAAATAAATAGAAGTTTTATCCGCACTTAACCGCGCCCCTGCCGCTGACGTCAACATCCAGTTTCTCATTATGCGATGATCGGACGATCAATTCTAGACACGCGTTGGCCATAGCACAAAAGAAGCACACGTTTAATTATTATTCGCCTTTTTCTTCATTTTTCTTTCAACTTGTATCCACAGTCATATCATACTTCCAGTTTTGGACGTGGCGCACATGTCGTATACGCGTTTTGAGTCTTGATTGAGGCCTAAAGTTTTGGCCCTTTCAATTGATAAGAGCCAACGAAACTGAAGGCTGCATATCTGTTACATGCGTAGTTATATTTACTTCTATTGATATCTAAAAGCGTCAAGTCATTTGGGCTTTCAAAAACTTGACTACGAGCAATTTGTCAAAGAACACACCGAAGACTAAATACCCTTGCAGAATTGCTTTGATGCAAATGTTATATTGTATATATTATTGGTATTATTATTTTTATCACCACTTATTATTATTATTTATTAATAATAATATATTATTGTTATTATTATTATTAAGTATTATTATTGTTAATATTAATATTATCATTATTATTATTATTACTATTTATTATTATTATTATTATATATCATTATAATATTTACGACCGATTGCTTATATAGCAGCTTGTTGAGCTAGTTTTAAGATATTTTAAGTTGTTGAACAAAATTCTTCCTTTAGGGTATATATATATATATATATATATATTTTTTTTTTACCATTATTATTTCTATTTAAAATCTGCCCCAGATTAGAGATATATGACATAGTAGTCCGATGTTTATAACCTTTAGTTTATATGTCAGGAGGATAGTAAAGCTCTGAAAAATGAGGCTTAATCAAGATATTATGAAAATAAGAGAACTCATTTAGCTTTTCAGCAATCGTTCATATGCCAGCTAATATATGATATAGTTGTTAGGCAATGTTTCGTGTCTGGAAAACTTGTTTTCACAAGATATAATCGAGTATAATCGTCTCATTGTGTGCGTTACAAATTTCGTGACAAATTGTAAATACCCTCTGCAAGAGTATAGGAAATGAGCAAGTGAGGCGCATAACATTAATCGACAGCGACAATGTCAGTGTCGGCAGCATCTGACCAGGCCAGAGAGACATTGCTGCTGTTGCTGGTGCTGTTGCTGGTGCCCAATGGACTCGAGGCAACAGCAACAGCAGCAACAAAAACGGCAACAACAACAACAACAAATCGCTGGCAAGGTCGTACGCTTTTGAGGAAACGAAGCACAATCGAAACAAATTGATCTCTTGCACCTGCGGATAGGCGCATGCGTCCCTGGAACCGACTCGCTATCAATTTAGCTAATACACAAAACTAAACATTTAAATATGTTATTTACAACGTGATTTCGGTTCATATTAGACGGCAGCAGCACCAGACCACAAATAGCGTGAATTCGTATGCAGATTTTCGTCGTTATTGAAACTCAATTTTTATTGCTTTTACACATTTTTTAGCATCAGTTTTTGATCGCAGCCCACAGCAACAATTGCCTTGAACTAGTGCCAGCTGCTGCTGCTACTGCTGTTGCCGCTTTATAAGCCAGTATAACATAATAATATAATAAATAATAATAATAATAAGCAAATCGCATACACGCATATCTTTCTCTCATAAATATCAATATCACATAAACTATATCAAGTTTTTAGCACTTCCGTGTGCCGTTCGACAAATGCAACAATCTAAACGCATTTGTTTTTGTTAATTTATTGTTGCCAACTATATAACTACATTAGATTCATATACGTAGACGAGCTAAGCTGGAAAGTTTCCTAATTGATTCGAGGTCTCAGTCTGTGGGTTAGTCAGTGCTTAAATATCTAGTTTACTTTTGTTTGACTTTAGTGTTATGTTTTATGAGCATGTTTTATTGTTGCAGTAGAGAGGTGGAACCAGAATTTCACATGTCTTTCAATTCGGGAGTCTTTTATGGCTTAGTTTACCTATTTAACAAGGGCAAAGAGGGCATGCTAGATTTGTGGCAAATGTTTGCAACAGGCAGTGGAGGGCTTCTACAAGCACATGAGCTGTATTTATCTCGGAGACTAGACGAGCTAAAGACCTACAATTTGAAACGTAGCTCCTTCTATTGCCACGAAATCAATGACTATCGATTAACAGATATTTATGTTGCCATAACTCGCAGCTTATGGGAGCTAGACACACCAAGTTTAGGCAGGTTTTCGAGCATGCAACATTATTCCATATGTTTTCTCAATATTTTTTAAAGTTTACCATCTTTTGAGTAAAAGACTTGCGCTTTGTTCTATACGCACTTTGAAAGGCCATAGTTAAGCCCTGAAAGTAGCATAAAGATCGGACCATAAGCACCGATCGGACCATAAGCATTTGTGAGGCTAAGGAAGAAAAAGCCCAGCTTAAGGCTTGTTAAATATTTTATGTGTATATCTTTTAGAATATCCTCATATGTTTCTGACGGCCACAGGGTATCTACCAACTGGCACACCTTACTTGTTTTATTCTTTTGGGTTTGTGGCTGCGTGTTTTATTTCCATTATATAAAAGCAATCTCTTAATTCTGACTTTTTGTTTGTCAGCTTGAAAGCAATTTAATTGTAAATATGCATTAATTGTTTGTAAAATGAATGCCATTAAATATTAATTATTAATTATTATGGTTATAACCAGGTATATTTGCGTTAAAAAAAATTAAAGTTAAAATTATATAAAAGTGTTTTAATATTCACAGAAATTTGCTTGAAAATTTTATTTAAATAAATTTTTATGTTTTTTTTATTTCAAAACTTTTTAACTGCTGCATTTATATTTTTTGTAAAAACGGAAAGGCCTTTTTTATAGATTTACAATTTTTTACAATTTGTTCACATTTTTCAATTAAGTTGACTAATTTTTGTTGTTGTTGTGATTAATTTTTAACTTTGCGCCCAAACAATAAGTTCAGAGTTCGTTGCCAGAGTCTTTCGTTTAAATTGCTTAGCTAGAAATTGGCATAAATTAAAAGTGAATAGCTTGTAATTGCGGCACAGGCAAATGCAAATAAATGCTAGGGAAAATTCGATGATTCGTTTCTCAAAATGCAGAGAAAAATCACAGCCTTAATCAATTGGAGACTTTAGCTTTAGCTGCGAACTTATTTGTTGAACAGTCATCAGTTGGATCATCATCATCATCAATTCTGCTATTATTATTACTATTATTATTATTTTATATTATTGCTGTTGCATTTTGACAAATCATTTACCCAATACCAAGGCTGTTCAGTTAGACCAAGTCATTCGTAGCACGTAGTTAAATTACAACAAAAATTACAAAAAAAAGCCACATTTGTCCCGCGAAAACTTCTGGCCTCCAAGATTTGCAGCCGTCATCATTGAGGCATGAGGTTCTGTCCCATCGGGTTCCCTTGCTCTTTTTTGGGCGTGTTCACCTTGCCATTATTATCAAAATTTGAGCGTCGACCGTGGCTTGTTAGCCAAACGAAGTCATTTGAAAATCACCAGGCCAAGAAAATAGCGAAACTCAAACAAAGATGAAACGAGATGGTTTTTTTTTTTCATTTTTATTTTTGTTGTGCCTGAGAAGGTGTGACCGGCCACGCATGTGACCCCAATTGGACTCGAAATTCAAATGCTATTTCACCTGGCATTAGGTGTCACCAAAAAGGCCACAAGCTGCACATAAACAATCCGCCCGCGCCCCGTCCATACCCCTCGCCCCAAGCGTCGCCCTGTGAGGCACTTGCTCAACGTGCGAACGGATGTGCAGCACAAATCTTGGGTGGCAGCTGGTTTTTATTTATTTTTTTTCTTTTTTTTCTTACTTTGATATTAAGATAATTTGAGTAGCCCGTCGGCCTGGCGTTCGTGCTGTTTACGCGAAGACAACAACTATAAAATCATAAGTAAACAAATTGCGCGCATGCGTTGCGAGCGCCTTTTTTTGAAGGGCAAACGGCCGATTTACGAATATGAGAAATTCGTTACAGTCCGGCCAAAAAGTTTCGATTTCTCACACACACACACACGCACACCTATGTACTAGACAGGTATGCACATATATTATATATATATATGTGGACAGATATATGGAGTGTATCTTGCCGTTTAGCACATTGCTGGCAGCTTTTTTCCCGAACTTGTCCCAGCTTTTCACATTGCTCCAAAAGTGATTTCTTTTGTTGCTATTTTAAGATGATATAATATCACATAATTGTAACAAATTGGCCAGCTGCACAACTAGTGTGTATTAACAGCAACTTGTTATCGTTGCGTGGCCTTTTCGGCCAAATAATCAAGCACATCTGCTGCTGATTATGCTAGTTGATCAATCGTCAAATAAGCACACACATACATATATATATATATATATATATCTGTATATATACAGAAAGCATTTACATATGCGTCGCTTTGGTGATTGACTTGGCCGCAGCTCACGATTTTGGGGCCCAAACGTGGCCCATATGTGTGCATGTATTGGATGTTGTAATCTGGTTTCGGAGATGCCCATGTTGTCTTATATTTATTTTTTGTTGCTGTTGTTGTTGTTTCTCTTTTGTATACAATACATTTTTCAGAGGGGGGGACCTCGGAATTGGTCCACAAACACGCGCGTCTCTTTCGCAATGGGCCAAAAAAAAACAAAAAAACTGGCTCAGCTTGCAGCCAATTGTTGATATGAAATTGAAATTTTTAGCGCATTTCTTATTTATATATTTAATATTGAGCATAAATATTATTGTTAATCAAGTTCTGCTTGCACTTGTTGATGTGAAATTTTGTTGCGCATTTCTTATTTGATATTAATATTATTTTCAATCAAGTTCTGCTGCACTTGCCTTTTATTTGTTTTGCTGACAATTAAGTTGAATAACACTTAATTTATTTATTTATATATATTTGTATATATATGGGAGCACGACACAGCACACAGCACTTTTTTTGGAGACACACTGAAAATCCTTTCGTTAAATAGTTAGCCGCACGTTCGTTATCCTGTCACAAAATATTCAGATTTCGCGTTCAATATTTAATATTCTGAATTGTGGAGAACATGCGGTTATTAGCTTTGCCAGTTGGCCAACTTCACGCTTTTGCGCTTACTTTGCGGTTAAAGCGCCGGCAACAAACTAAGCGACATCCGGACGCGACAAGCCGTCTTCTATGCGCCCCGCTGCAGACACACACAGCACACAAACACACACAGCACACACACATGCACAGTCAAGCATTTGATACGGCTCGATCGATCGCACGAGGTAAGGTCCGAAGCCGATCGCCAACTTGTTAATTTAGCCACAAGAATGTATATGTGTGTTGTCGAACGCGCCAGTTCTGTGTAGCTGAACAGGTGATCATCTGTGTGCGTGTGTTGCAATCCAGGTGTGTGTGTGTGTGTGTTTTTCTGCCTTAGTTTATGCTGTGGCATTGCATGATTTTGAGCGCCCATGTTCTAGGATTTTATAATATTACAAAAACGAAACTATTAAGCTAATTATCCGATCGCTGATTAACGTCAAATATATGCACATACATAAGTTGTGATTAGAAAGCAATAATTTCTAGCTATCGTGGCCGAGCATTGTAATTATCAGCACCTTCAACGAGTTTTTCCCTAGATAATTTGATTGCAATTTTGTTTTCGTATCGTCTGATTGAATGTGAATATTGGCAAAAGACAAAAGGCAAAAGGCAAAACCGGCAACTGGCCTGGGCTGCGCCCAAAGGCGACCCATATGATGCTTTGTGTGTGCAAATCATTGCGCAATTTAATGGCCACAACCACAAGACCAAACCAAAATGACGGACTGCGACTCTGACTGCAACTGCAACTGCAACTGCAACTGCAAGTGGAACTGCGAGTGGAACCGCAGACAAGGCATACCAAAACTTCAGTGGCCCCTTGTGACTTTAGCCAAGTCATCCAAAGAGCTTGAGCTGGGTGTCATTATGTAGGCGCAGGTACGAATATGAGCACAGTTTGCGAGTACTCAAACTATAAACATAACAATAAGAAGAAAAATAGTGACTGACATTTGGCAGCCAGCCAGGCAGGCCATAAGCTGCAATTTGGCCAACAAATTAAATGGCACTCGAAGCAGTTGCCTTGGTCCCTATTGTTAATTACTCGATTGCTTGCCAGACAAAGGCGAACCAGCGGCTGGCTCGGCTGCCGATTGATGTGTCCGAAAAGCAAAAAACAAATCTGCATGCATTACTTTTAATTTCGTTTCATTAACGATTCAGTCACAGATTTTCAGCAGCGCCCAAATCCGATTTGGCCACATTTCAGCTTCCGCAGTTTTTGAAGGTGAGCCCGCTTTTTAGGCATGCCAGGCGCGTGTTTGCGCCCAGTACGGCGGACGATTGGCGTCGTACATTTCATTCATTTCAATTGCCGAACAGCTGGCAACAATATGGTTTCTATATGTGCCGGGTTCAGCTGAACGAATTTTGGCGCGTGCTCGAGCCGTCGTCTAATAAGTGCGCCCAAATTCCTAATGTACAACTTGTAACATCCAACTTGGCATGCTTTAATTAACGAGCTACCAAATCGTAGACCTAGACCTAAACGGCAATCTTTAATCGACATGCGCTTCAAACTGGTTTGAACTCTTAAATTGTGTACGGTATTTGCATGTCTTGTGCTTGTTCAAGTAACAATTAAATCGGTTTTCAAGTCAATGTCACACGGCGGAAACAAAAGACTTAAGACACAAACTTGCGCATGTTTTTTTTTTTCTTCTACAATTTAACGACCCATTCGATTAGAGTTTTTTTTTTCTACAAACAACTACACTTAAACCAATTTGTTTTAAAGCATCTTTACAAAACACGAAAAAGGGCAAAAAATTGGCAGCTCGCAGCGCGCCTTTTTTGTTGTGTTTTGTTTTGTTTTGTTTTGATTTGTTGAACTTGACAAGATGGCATAATTTGCATGAAAATGATTGGGACTCGATGAGGCAGCAGCAAGAATTGGACACAACATCGTCGGATCATTAGCCTAGGAAAAAACCCAATCTGTAAGCTTTATATGTTTTACTTCTGGTTTTTTTTTTTTTTTTTTTTGTTTTTTTGAGCCAATTGAGTCTACATTAAAACTCAATTTATGAGCAGCATTAAATGCGTGTCGGGCTATGAAAAGAACAACAAATCGGCACCGGGGAATACTTCAAGCTGATTAGAAATCAATTTGTCGTCTACATACAAGTTAATATACCCTGCAACGGCTGTTCGGGTAGCCTTGACCATAACACTTATACGCTGGCAGCCTTCAAAGATACCAGTTGATTACCGTTGCCTCTGACTGTCTGTATTATTGATTTAGACGCATAAAATCGGCTGCAGAGAACCATTAATAAAGGCAAAAACTCAATAAAACTGAGCGGGTCTTGAACTCTATTGAAAAATGCTGACATTGAACTACACACACTGACGATTTATGCTGCTTCCGACTTGCTTGGAAATACAAAAGAAAGAAATGCAAATGACGCGCATGACGACCATTTAATGCTCTTACAGACTAATTTTAGGCTATAAGAAAATGCAGCTAAGGTTCTTAAGCAATATTTAACTCTTAGTGGGAAACTATTTCGAAAGGCAACAATCGTTTTCCAAGGCTCACCTGGTTTCAAGGTGAACCTGGTTTTCCACATGTTCGACTTCAAAACCTGGCTTACAATTTTCACCAATTTTCTTTCATCAATTTTCTTCAATTTCCAATAGATCTTTTCAGATATTAACAACCTTTCAAAAGCATAAAAGATTTTAAAATAGCAAAAATATAAAAATATTTTCTGTTTGAGGCTTAAGTTCGATTGTTTTTCATCAAAGTTATGCTGTTTAATATAGTTGCATTCATGTTGGGTAAATTGTAGGGATTTTAATTTAATTAATTTAATTTTTAATTATTAGATAAATTTTGAGCAATATTTGTTAATATGCTTGACAACAATTGCCTTAAGTCTTACTCCAAAATCATTCCAAAATGCAAATCACAATTATCCTGCTCCTAGACCATGAAAACCTTTATGAAATAGTACTCGACTTTAGAGTATTGATAACATCTTTAGTGCGTTACGACATGCACAACATAATTGACATAACCGATGCAAGGGCATAAGGGCAGGCCCTCTCATTGTCGAATTAAATATAATGAACGCAATTACAGGTTGCGTGAAGCGCGTACAACTTAATTGAAAGTGAAAGCCCCGCTGGCAAATTTGAAAACCTAAAGACAGCAAAAACATCAAAAGATCGGGTCTAGCCGCTGCCATTAATGCCTAACCATAAACATTTCAAATATACGGCTGAACTAATGAAGAAGACAGGGAGAAAGAAAGATATAATATATATATACATATATAACTATATATCATTATTCCAGTTTGAGCTGTACTTTAACCCGAAAAAAGACTAAAGACCATAACGAAACTGACAAACGCTTCACGCATTAATTTAACTACTCATTGGCGACATTTTATAAAAAGCCAAAAACTATTTCGATTGGATCAAATAACTGTTGAGGATTGTGGATTTGAATCCCAACCTCATTTATATGCACGATGCGTTGGCTCTTTGGCTGGCAAATTTTTGTTTTATGGGCAAATAAATTTGTATATTTGTGAATGAATTTGTCACACAATTTTAAGGTTGAATCTGAAAATTAAAAAGAAATACAAACGCAATTGGGTTATTATGTAGTTATTAAAACACACTACTAAGAACTTTAATATTTGCATAATTAAAATAGGTATTTATAAATATATATATATATATATATATATATATGCGTGTGTGTGTGTGTGCTACATAGAAACAAAATGATCTATCGAAATCTTTGACACATTAGCAACAAAAGACAAAGACTTGAAGTAGAACGAATTAAAAAAAAAAAATCTCATCTCAGACTAAACGTATTTGATCAAGTCAAGACAGCGGGTCAAAGTCAACGCTTGAGCCAAATTTTGCCGAGTCATTAGCAGGCAGCACGTTGCCCTCGCTGTCGAGTCCAAGACCAAAACAAACAGCAGCTAGTATATGAACTAAACTCATAAGCCCACTGGCAAAGGCGACTCTCTACAGATTTCCATATGCGCATTAGGCTAAGCCAATGGAGCAAAGCAATTAAGAACATGGTAAGATGAGGAAACTCTCCCGTGTTGAGCCACATTATGATTCCAAAAGTTAATCACCAACTTGGCAAATACATCCAAGTGTACTTTCGAAACTTTAAATAGCCTTGAGAGCCTAAGTGATTAATTCAATAGAATGTTCTCTAGAATGCATTGAATAGCGAACAAAGCATTGCAACTTTTAGTTTTAGCCCCCTTTGATTCGCAATTTGACATTTTATTTGATTTAAAGTTCTGTCTTGATTCGCTTTATATTATAATATATATATTCGTGCTATAATAAAGTTTTGCACTGGTTATATCTTTTAAATATATTTCTATTTGAGAAATAATAAACTTCATATCTGAGAGCTAACGATTTTGTATTTCATTTTCATTTTGATTCACTGAAACGTAATTCTTTTAAATGTTTATCAAAACGTTTTCAACTAAAAATCTTAAAGTATAAAATTGCTTGAGTGGCTTTAGAAATTTGTTTAAAATTAAGCCCCTGAGCGCAACGATTGTTGAAATGCTTTCATTTGAGTTTTACGATTACGCCACATTTAAACGAGAATATCCGCAGCAAAATATGTACTATTTAAAGATCAATAATCTAAAATAAAATTAGGTAAAAATTAAACTTTTATAAATTATTATATTAATTAAACTACTACAGATTTCATTCGATCATAATAAACGGGTTTTGCTAAGTAATTTATAACGCGAGTTTTTTAATAATCAATCCGGAAACAGATGTTCTTGTATTCATCCTGAATGTAGGTATTTTTCTTATTTTAGCCAAACAACAAAGAACAAATGCGAGCCAAACACTAAAATGGCCGCATTGTCAAACTGCGATAGATTTTCCATATAGTTGTGTGTGTGTGTGTGTTCGTGTTTGTGTATGTATGTGTATGGAGTGTGCATATGATTTGATGTGCCTAATGTAATATTTGAATTTGCTGGAGCATTTAAAAAGTTATTGGCTCAATTGGCACAGTGCATTCGCCGACGGTGACGCGATACATGGCCATTTCGGAGATGCCATGGTAATGCACAAACGCGGCCGCAATAACGAGCACATGGAAAAGTTGATGAGACTGGAACTGCAAGAGGCGAAACACATTGGTAAAGATAACTTGGATTTATAACACAATCTCAAAACAAACTTACCCAAATATCAAACTTGCCGGGAAACCAGCGCTCGGGCACGCGTAGAGCATACAATAAAGCACCAAGTATATATAGTAAGCCTTAAATCAAGTTAAAGAGTTGAGTACACGATTTTAGTTAGTGTTATTTGCATTGCTTACCCATCAGTATAAGCCAGCCGAGACTAGCGCGGCTGATTTGACTTAACCAACCCTCCATGATGCTGTAGTGAATGGCCGGAATAACTCCAGAGAGGCCGAAACTCATGAATACACCGGCACGCAGCGGACGCAAGGCTGGCTCCGAAAACTTATCCCACAGCGAGACGATGATGGAAAGACAGCCGAGCACACAGACCACAGAAAGATATATCACCTTTGGCTGATAGTGACAATAGAAGCCATAGTAAAGCCAAGGAACAAAGGAGCCCATTATGAGTAGTGCAATTCCACAGTAGTCCAGTCTGAAATTAACATATTATTTAGGTTAATATAAATATGTAGATGATAAAGTATCCGCACTTACTTTGAAAACAGTCTGCCAATCTCAACCGAATGGCAACTTAACGTATGAAAAGCGAACGAAAATCCTAAACAAATGATGGCGCCCATAAAGAATGCACCAAAAACTAATTTCTCTTGAAATTGTATCTCAACTGTGGGACGGGATACAAAATAGAGAGCCACGCCAATGAAAGCAATGCAGCCAAGCAGATGCGTCCAGATGTTTCCAGTTTCCGTGTGCACACGGAATATCGATTTAAAACATGCCCGGAACGAAGGCAGCGGCGGGCGATGACCGCGATGCAAAAAATCATTATCCTGCAACCATTTGGGCAAGTTTCTGTAATGGCAAACCTTCCAGCTAGCTTCCCAAACCTGCGAACAAACAAAATGATATTAAACACGAAAATATATACATATAGATTAGCAGGTAATTATTTGGCAACGAATCATGAAACGAAACAGAATGAAACATTTATGAGTTAACAAAAAATTAGTAAATGCATTTATTAAACATCAAATGTGCATATGGGTTAAAAAGTATGTGTGTTAGTACATGATTGTTAAAATATACATTTGAAAGAAATAACAAAAGGGCCCGTGAAAGAATAGTTTTTGCTTGAGCTTTCAGCTTACCTTGCGCACAAATTCCTCGGCCTGCTCGGCGGCATTGTGAGCCAGTGCGCCCAGATCAATCTCGTCCGAGAGCACGCCAGCCTTTAAGACTTCTGTCATCTAAAAGAAAAATTAAATGCGTTAGACTTGGGCAGATTTTGAGGCAGACTTAAAAGCTTTTAATTAATTTACTATGCGCCAGAGACTAACGTTGATTTCGCTTGATTGAAAATTAATTGGTTCTTCATAGGGTTGATTCTTAATTGATTCCAGAGATTCGGCCACGTTTATAACAGCATCGAACTCAACTCGCGACTCAGCCATTGAGCAGCTCATAAAATTCAATTTAAATACTAAATAAAATATATATAAAGTGCACGAAATGGCAAATGGCAAGTTTTGTACTTTGAAGTGATAGTCGATCGCCTACTAAATTCAAATATTGTGTACACATTTGCGGCGGAAGAAAAGGCGAACGGAGCCCGCGATAAGATAACGAGTGTAAAAAATCGACGCCAGACGTAAAACAACTATCTGCGTCACATCTGTTTTTATTTTTTTGAATATTTGTTTTGCGCCCAAATCCAGTGCTGAACGCCTAATCCGCACCTGACCCCCCACAAGGCGCGCTAATTGTCAATGCAGACGCAAATGACAGCAATAAGTTATAAATACATGTACATGTGTATTTAACTACGCAGACATGCTTATAGCCCAGGTGGGCGGGTGGTTAGCTGGTTGGCTGGTTGTCTTGTCGACATTTTGCACCTGCGCCTAGTCATATCGAACTGACTCCAGCGATATGATAAGCTTGGTCGCGACATTCAAAATGTCAGCGAACGATTGCTTCAATTCATATGTGCATTAACAAATATATATGTGCATATAAGCATGTGTCCAACCCACTTGTACATGCTGATAACCGCTGACCACTGGGTCAGCTAGCTCTCACAGCTGATTGCGTCTTTGGGTTTTGGGCTTACCTCTGCCTCTATGAGCTGGGTGTCCTCTGGCGTTGACGGCAACGGGCAACCGGCATCGTCCTCCTCGACAAGCTCGTCGTCGTCATCCTCGAGCAAGTCACCTGGTCCCCAGCCGCGTCGCTTGCGCAATATCATTGTCACCTGTTCGAAGATGTCCTCGTCTTCATCCTCGCCGGCAGCGCTCTGCGCCGCAGGAGTATCGTTCATTTCGACCGACGAGGGCAAACCAGAATCCTGATCGGTAACGTTGACGCTGGTGCTGGCCAACTCCTTATCGCTGCCTGAACTGTTGCTTTCCAGCAGTTTCTTCGAGGAATCCATCACAATTTTTTGTAGCCTCTACGCGAATGTGCTGAAAAATAGATTTATTTAAAACAAATTTAAGACAAACTTTTAAATGGAAAATTTTTTATTAAAAGTCTCTATATACATATATGTACAATTTACATTAACATTCCAAATCGAGAGTTTGAGAGTCATGAACACATGGCACTTTACTATTGTTGAGAGCTAGACTCGAACTTTGTACCCTTGATAGTTAACAAGTGCATGCGTGTGTGTGTGTGTGTGTGTGTGAGTATTGTTATTGGTTTTACATTTAACGGGCTGCGCTAACATGGTAAAGGAGGGGGGCACACGGCAAGGGGAAACAAACAATAAAGCAACAAGCGAGCGAACGGCTATTAAAGTAATTAAACTTTTATATAAGTGGCCCACAGGTTTGCGTCGTCAAGTTCAGGAGCAGCACTGGAGACAGAAAAGGCAAACAGATAACTGGGCTGGTTGTCCAACTGTTTGCCTTATGTTTGTTTGAGTCCGGGGCTTACATTTACAGACAAGTACAACTCTTAAGAGGATTCCACAAACTAAGCTGAGCTTATCTAGGTCATATAATTTGTTTTCACATTTATAACACACTGTGAAATTAAGCCCCAACTCTTTCTTCAATACTACAAATAATGTATTGAACCGAGTAAAAACGACTTACCCCTGTTTTGTACGCAATGTTTTCGCTTTAAGCTGTGCGAAAAATGGATTCGCGTTGAGTCTAAACGAAAAATATTAACAAAAAATTATGCCAATTTACGTTTTCTTCTTTCAACAATATAACAAAAAGTGTGCCCACATTTATGGCGGCTGTAACATTTTTAATTTGGTCTCATGCACATTTTACGATACTTATCGATAGTTTTGCGGGCTCTACCACCTAATTATTCGCTGAACTTAAATTATTTGAATCGCATCAATATTAAATAATGTTTTTACATTCTTTCTGGAATTATGAGCAGCAAGGTTTCGCGGCCAAAAAATTTGTACTAAGATAGCGCTGACAAAAGAACTTAAATAGAATGATTTCGACATATATTGTATTTTAGATTACTAAATATATCCGTAATGCGCAGTTAGTTGAATAGAATACCAACTGCAGCAGTTCAATTTTAAGTACTGTAAAATGTTATAAAACACTTAACATTGGCGACCAGGGCTGGCTACTTTTCAAAAGCAAAAAAAACTCTGTTCGAAAACGGACAGAAATTTCCAGCACAAAAATCTGTTTTCTGTTTTCTATCATATTTGTTTACACCTTGTTTGTAATCCCGTAAAATTCAATATTATTGCAGTTTATATAAACGCCTCGGCTGCTCCAATTGATTTATTATTTATAAACTTTGAGCAATCGGTAGTTGGTAGGATCTACGAAACCAGTACCTATAATAAAATTAGATGACTTTTCAAGTAATGGGTTGAACGTCCCGTCATTTTTGTTTGTACTTTTTTACCGCTATAGTACACGACTATGTTAACTTATCTTTCCACAAAAGTAGAGATGGCAATCGTACGCTGTTTTTGTTAAGTTTTGTTTTATGTTAAATTCGATAAGTCCCCATGCTTATCGACGTAAAGTTTATGTTAGACCTGGAAATTTTACATTCTGTTTTTTTGGTGTAAGCAAAGCGGAAGAAAAACAAAGGGCTATTTAAATGCCAGAGATTTCGTTGCCAGCTGTTTTCGAGTATTCCCCGCAATTGGACTTACAAAAAAATAAACAAATTTAAAAAATATAGACAACAATCTATATTTTGTAACTTGTGATGAATTTACATAAGATGCCGGGTTCACCAAAAATCATCCAGCAAATATGTAAATAATTTCCTAACATTTATCGATTTTAAGTTAACAAGCATTTGTTAATCGAACAGCTGTTAACAACCTAAACAAAGATCTTTTAGAAATGCCGCCTTTTCAAAGATAGTTCCCGCTTTTTTGCTTTTCCCACCATCAAAATCGTGACCTTCTCGTAGTTGGTTCGTGAGTCGCGATCTCATCGTACAGTTTCATTGATTTGCTTGTCGTCAATTTCACAATCCATCGTTACATTGACGCAGTATATTTTAGAAGACTTACTTATATAAATATTACACATTCTTAACGTACAGATAAACGCTTAGATTTAATGATGGCCACGGCAAAAGCATGCACGAGCAATGGCCGAAAGTTCGCCCAGGACACACAGCCCTTTACGGTGCTGATTGAGGGAAATATTGGAAGTGGCAAGACGACATTCTTGAACCACTTTCAGAAATATGACAAGGATGTCTGCCTGATCACAGAACCCGTGGAGAAATGGCGCAACCTAAACGGCGTCAACTTGCTGGAGAAGATGTACAAGGATCCACAAAAATGGGCAATGCCCTTTCAGTCATACGTCACATTAACGATGCTCCAGGCGCACACTGCACCCACGGCCAAAAAATTGAAAATATTAGAACGCTCTATATACAGTTCACGGTATGCGGCATATTGCTCAAATTATAGAATTTATAAAATTAATTATCTTGCCGTTGCAGCTATTGTTTCGTGGAGAATATGTTCCGCAACGGCTCCATGGAGCTGGGCATGTACAACATACTGCAGGAGTGGTACAAGTTCATCGAGGAATCGATACACGTGCAGTCCGATCTGATTATATATCTGCGCACCTCGCCCGAAGTGGCGTATGAGCGTATACGTCAGCGCGCCCGCTCCGAGGAGAGCTGCGTGCCATTAAAGTATTTACAGGAGTTGCATGAGCTGCACGAGGATTGGCTGATACACCACAGGCGTCCACAGCAGTGCAAGGTTACTTGAATTGAACTCGCCTCGTTGTTAAAAGGAGTACTTGATGTATTGTATTGTGATTGCAGGTCCTTGTGTTAAATGCCGATCTTAATCTGGAAAATATTGGCAGTGAATATCAACGTTCCGAGACGAGCATTTTCGATGCAATCTCAGGTGCGCATCAGCTTCAGCCTGCTGCGGTGCTGTTATCGCCTAGTAAACGCCAAAGGTTATCTAGTTAACCAACTTGGCCTCGGGTTGCCAAAATCAGACGATTAATAAACTCGGACAAAATTTACATATAGAAGCAAACACTTTTATAAGCTAAGGGAATTCGGCTCCCGGTTATATTCACCGAGGACATCATGTAAATGGCTTCAGCTATTGTTCGTTTTAATATAAACCTCGCATTTCAAACATCACAAATATTTAACACTATTCCAATATAAATTTTAATTTCATTGAAAGCAGCGCTCGATAGTGTAATTAGAAATTTTATTTATGACACCTTCAATTCTAACAATCATGTTCAATGTTATATCCTATACAAATAAACCTACATTGTAAGCTAAAATGTTTAATGAAAGCAATTCTGTCTTTGCGCTTAAACAACTAATATAATAATCAAATGTATTTGTCACAAAATATAAACAATTAGCTCGGCCGTCTAGTAAAAGTCAATTTCTGCGCCGCCGCTTTGTAAGACAGCCTCCACACGCCACGTCATCGACTCGTACAGATGATCTATTTTGTTCACCAGCTCCTGATCGCTATGCCAAATATCATAGAGCACAGAGCGGAACTCGTAGACATTTTGTGGCGCCTGAGTTTGTATCTTGGGCTGTATGATGGCCATTAGTTGCTCCAGCAGGTTCAAATCATTGCATTCGCCGCAATCGGGGCCCACCAATGTGTCCAAGTATATTTCTTTGGGCGTGGAACCTACCATAACTTTCTGGTCATCCATGTTGAAGATGTTGCGCCAGTCCTGCACCGTCCATTCCTCGTGAGCGCGTGCCCATTCCAGGCGCCTCTGCCGTACAGTCGCACTCAAGCCTCGATTCTTTGGCGGAAATGGGCGCGCCCTTATCTCACTGATGCGCCTTTGAAGCGTGCGACGGCTCACCTCAATGCCAAACCGCGTCTGCAGTTCGCGCTGCACATCTATGGACGTATAGTGTGGATGATCGCAGAGCATCTGCTCGACCAGCTTACGATTTTCGAACACTTTCGGCCGTCCAACTTCCCGCCTGTTCTGCAATTCGGGCAGCGGCCTCAGCCGCAATTTAGCAGCCACTTTGCCATCATGCTGCTCAGTTTCGGTAAGGCAGCTCGTCACGCTTTCAACATCACATTCCAGCATCTGTGCGATCTCCGCGTGGCTGTAGTTATCCTTTAGGGTATGCACAATATTCCGTATATCGGTTTCAAGCACCATCGCGAAATATGACTTGTTGGCCGTGCCAAAATCAAACATAAAATGCGCAGAGTTCAGATGCAGCGCCGTGCTTATATGCGTGGTGGCAGGTAAACTTCACAACAGTTGCATCTGCTTGGGTTTATGACGCGCAAGCTGCCGCGGATTAGTGAAACCTTTTATTGCGCACAGGTAAAATGCTGGCTACGTGTTCATACATGCTTTTTAATTACTTGTTTGGGACTTGCTATACTCAGTTTTACTTAAGTGTACATCTGTTGGCCCCAAACAATAAAGTATCTCAAATAAAATAGATTTGTATCCGTACTTGCCATTTAATGTGAAGTCGATTTCATGTTGATGTATTTGTAGAATTACAAAAATAAATGTAAAAAACTTGTACATGTGAGTTAGTTATTTCTACAGTAGGAAATGCATCACTGCCAAATGTCAGATATTGTTAGAAAATCTATGCCAGTTTTGTCTTTTATATTTACGTAGGTATTCATTACGAGTTAGAACTAATCATATTGTGCCAAAGGCGCGCAAGGCCTATTTTGAACGAACAACATAGAGAGGCTTTTAGCTGGGCACTAGAGTGTGTAAAAATATAAAGGAGGAAAGGCAACCATATAAGCTCGCAGTGAGCACCCCAATGACATGGAGAGTTAAGTTTAGGGTTAATAGCATTAGCTCGATTGGAATTATACAATTAAATAAATAACGATAAAGTATGCCTAATTGGTTTCCTACATTCATGTGCTAGGTTTTGATTTGTTTTCTTTTCATATGATGTTTTTTGTTTTGTTTGTTTGTTGAGTGTTCCAGGCGCAACAAAGTGCCAAGCAGCTAGTGTTTACTTTGTGGATGTGTTTTTGTTTATGTTGCGGCTGCCGTAGGCGCCACATTAGTCATCCAGATCGATATCTGAATCATCGGAGTCATAGCCGCCGCGTATAGTCTTCTGTGGGCGATTTATAAATGGTTTGCGTTTCACATCTGGTGGCTGCATAAGATCGCCTTTGTACTCAATTACGCCCGAATGGGCAATACGCCACTCGAGCATCTCTGTGGAGAAGTCATCACAGTTGCCCAAATCGGTAAAGCCCACGATGAAATCCTTGGTTTTACTGTCCTTCACAAGTGCTATGGTTGGCAGCACCTTGATGCGTAGACGTTGGGTCAAGAACGGTGTCTTCTCAGCATTCACCTTGCAGAATTTGGCCTCAACATGTTTGGCGGCGAGTATTTTCAGATGCATGTCGACAATACGACTGCGTTCCGAGCTATCCCTATAGAAGTGGCACACAATGTTCGGCGATTTCTTGGATACCTCAAAGAACTCCTTCTCATCGGCCAACTCGGAATATGTGCCGTGACCCTAGAATAAACATTCAATTTAAAGAGACCTCCCTTGAGCAGACCGGATTGTACTCACGTTTCTCAGCCATTCCTGCTTTTTATTGTTCAACTTTTTCATTTCCTGTATGCGCTTCTCTCTCAAGGCCTTCAGATCGTCCGTGTCAAAGTTATCCAAGCGATCGATCTCTTGATCCAATTGCTGCTCAATTGCTTGCGCAGCAGCATATAATTGATTTTCCACTATGTGCGCCATATCTCCGGTGTGGGCTGTGTAGGTGCACTTGCTGCTTGTGGCAACTAATTCGTATCTATTTTGACTCTTGTTATGCCTGTGTGTGCGTGTGTGTGTCTGTGTGTGTTAGAGCTGTACGCACTGCGTGTTTGTGCGTGTGCGTGTGCGTGTTTTACAAATGTTTTGTTTTGTGTGTATGCGTGTCCGGCATAAATGAAAGGCGTATCCAGATGCAGATGCGTCATGTTTTGTGGAAAATTCAATAAAGTAGCCAACGTTAGTATAAAAGGACATTTTATGTGACTTAAGAAGAGTATAAATCAGCTATTTGGCGACTACTTACGTTAATTTTTCACTGATTTAATAGAATTTGAAGAGATAATTCTTATAGCTTATTTATTAGCAGTGTGGGATGGCGATTGTACAAGTGAATCGATTAACTTCACAATCGGTGTGGCTGCATAGTGAAAGCATTAAAATACTGATTTCGATGTAAATTACACTTGTATTTTTGTTAAGTCGTGCTAAAGATGACAAAGTGAGTCAAATATCGATATGATTTTAAAATGAGTATTGTAACTCGATAGGCTATCGGTAAACATAAATGAGTATAAAAGCTTGGCAGTTAAAAAAAATATAATCTTGCAACTTAAATGAAGGGGAAATCTTCTTAGAGTAAACTTTATTTGGAATTAAACAGAAGTTCAGTTGTAACAGGGCCGATATGCGCATTGTTTTATGCTTAGCCAAGTTGTTAAATGAGTGAGTGCCATATAATATAGTACTAATATTTTTTTGATTATATTTTAGCATTCGAATTATTGACGGGTATTTAGTAGTCGAGCACTTCCACTTGAGTCTAATGACGTGGCTAAGGTAATCAATTAATCGACTTACGTGATGTAAATAATGATATTTAATTCAAAATCAAGGTCTATCTTAAGTACATTCAATTTTCTATGAAATAAGCGGATCTCGGTAATGCGAGACATCAAAGTAACTGAATGATAACAAAACTATATCAAGATATTCAACATTTTGAAATTTTGTCTGAAAAGAAGGGAGCCTCTTGCAGCTTTCTATTTTCCGGCTGGTCCAGCAACGTTTTCGCCTGTTCTATGTCCGACTTAATAACTTTTATTAAGTCGTCCAGCGAATCGAAATTTTTCTCCGGTCGCAAATATCCGACAATGCAGATTTTTAACGTTTGTCCATACAAATCACAATTGAATTTATGCAGCATATGCGTTTCCACGCTCTTCTCCTTGTTGTTGTAGAAGGGATTCCAGCCCACGCTTAGCACCATTTTGTACACCTCACCATTATTCACATTGGACCAGCCATAGTAGACGCCGGTGTGCAGGGATTCGGGCAGAGACTTTACCACATCAAGCGATAAGTTTGCTATCAATAGAAATCGAGTGCATTGGAATTCGTTATGTGATCGGGTTACGACAGTCAAGTGCCGGTGTACATACCCGTTGGAATGCCTAGCTCTTTGGAGCCGCGGCCAAAACCGCGAACAATCTCGCCGCTGGCATAGATTGGCAGCTGGTGAAGCATTTCTGTATGCTCGTTGTCTGTTTTGCTGGATTTGCGGTAACACTTTGCCTCCGGTTTGTGGTTTGATGAAATGCAGTTACGTTTGGTTGACCTGATCACGTTACTCGCCAATTTTCTGAAACAGCTTGCAATTTAAGCATAATTATCGGCGCGTGTGATAATTACAACACCACTCACAAAACTGTTAGACCCCCCATTGATAATGGTATTATAAGCACAACAGTGGGACCCAATCAGCTGTCAACACGGCTGCAACTAAATCGATATCGATGAATGTTTATCGGAATCGTATACAAGTAACACGAGTTTACACGAGCATGCATAAACACAGTTATTCGTCGATTATTTATCGCTGTTGCGCGGTCTAAATAGATCTGGCAGGTGTCGAATATTAAAAAATAAAATAAAATTATAAATAAACGTGCAGCCGTGCTAAAATATTGGCTAATATGAGGAAAAGAAGTGGCGATAATAAGCGGGCGACAGATTAACGGCCAACAGGTGCTTCAAATTTTAACTTCCATTAAAGCAGACCAATTGTAGCTACAAACTTTAAAGAAACACAAAGGCACAACAAAACGCGTCACCTGGTGAAAGCAGTCCCTTTAGGAAGATATTTGCGCATGTCTCTTTCCGCTCCAGATATGCACTCGTCAGGACTGCCGCTGCCCATGCTGGACTGGATTCTAAGTTCTATGGATTCTCATTTTCAAGACTTTCTCAAACTCCAAAACTCCATCATTAACAGAAAAACATGTGTGATGAGGCTTATAAAGCCTAAACACTAAACAACTTAATAGTAGCATTAAGAATAGCTCGCCAGAAGAAATACAATCCACAAATTCCAAGATATGGTCTACCATATTTTGCCACAGACCTCTCAATATCGAATATCGCCATTGAATTAGCCGTACACGATTTCACAGACAAAGTAAACGAAATATACAATAACAAAACAAATAATTTCATCCACCTGAGCGAAACTGTCAGCTTTAAGTACGGCCAGTAAAATAGCTCAGGAAATAACATTACAAAGTTTATAATAGTAATGGATCTCATCTTCATATATGGGCTAGCTGAGCTATAGTAGACCTGATACTGGAGAGGTATATGCACCTGGTATATGCACATTTTGAATATAAATATCAGCTAATTTTGTGCTGTTAGAGAATTAACTAATTAGTTAAAATATATATCACTTTTTCTCTCTAGTCAATTATATTAAAGATATCCTACTGAAGAATGACTTAATCCAGGAGAAATTTAATTTTTATATTTAATTTATGCTTCAAAATCATCCTAATCACTGAAGAACAGCTAAATCTAAGGGAAATTTAATTTTAATATTAATATTATAATTTAATTCTATTTGTGACAATCCAAATTTTATGTTTTCAGTTAGGAATGGGGATCTTTAATTTTTGGCTGTCTGAAATTTGATCTTTCCTTAAAAAAAGGATATTCGAAAGAGTAAATATAGTTTTAAATATACAATAAACAATATCTGTTGAAATGGTTTTTATTTTCCGCATTAGCTTATGTTTTGTTTTCGGGTTTGTGGCGGCGCTGCATAAAGCTATTAATTAGCGTCGTAAGCAAATGTTTATAATTCTAGGTACAATAATTTGGTAACGGTACTATAAATAATATAATCATGTATTTATATGCATATAAGCACAGCTATTATTGGTTGGGCTTGTTGATGCTGCAGCTATTGTACATATTCATAAAGGAACTAAAGTCTAGTTAATGTTTAGAGCCAACTTAGATCAATGAAACGTGGCGCGTTTAACTTACGGCTATGCTTATGTCTATGATTACGTGTAATTGTATTGGAGTGGAGGTTTTGGTGGATACTAAAAACAATTTATTATCATTATTATTATTATGGTAGTGTCTATGGCATTAACTGTACAACAGAAACTGCTTGAGGGCTAATATATGTATTTAACTGGAAGTAGACAGTAAACAACTTATTATTAAGATTTTTAAAGAATAGACAATGCTTAACTACGCATGGAATGCTCAAAGGTAGCTACAGAATTCGTTGAGAAACAATTGAAAATAAAATGAATATACTAAATATACATTTTACAAATGTTTACTTAAGCAGTTAAGTGAAACGCATTGAACAGCTTCCTTGGATAAGTTAAATACAGATAATAATAGAAATGAGTTAGGTTTGCATTAGTATGTTTCGCTTATTATTTATGTTTCGTATGGATTATGATCACGGCACCGTTTAAACATAAAACAACTTACAATGAAGATATTCTTAAACATAGGGAACTTGTACGCTAGAATAAAGCAAATGAATTGCAATTTCATAATCATACATATTAAATCAACAAAACTTGTGAACACAATTAAAGACTACCATGAAGATAAAAGCTAATTGCTTAATGAACGTTCTATAAATGTTAAAAATACAAGTCATAGATGAAAACTAATGCGCTTGATTGCATGATGCATGCTGCATGTGCAACACAACAGCAAGAACAACAACAAAATGTAAATTCCGTCACTCACATCACATACGATTGGTTGCGCCGGCCTTTCAAGCTGTGTGGCCCGACGTGGACAAGTGGGCGTTGTGGCCTTGTTTCTGGCATTGTGGACTGCCCGCTGGGCTTTTATATGCCAGCTAGCTGCATTTGTTGTGGCTGGGTGGGTGGTCACCAAAAAGAAACCAAAACCTATTTGAGATTAAATACAAAATGCGACCAAACTAAATGGTTATGTCGCCATAGTCCTGCGACCATTTCTCGTATGAGTTGAGACTTTGCGGCGCGACCGAACGACGTATGCGCTTTAACGAGTTGTGGAAATCCTTTTCGGTGATTGGGCGCATAGCGCTTATATCCAGACACTTGACCTGCTCCACATTTAGTTCACGTATGGGCTCCAGTGCTGCATCCTTGGCCAGCGCTGTTAAATCCGAGCCCGAATAGCCGTCGGTTATCTTTGCCAAACGGGCCAAGGCTTCCGTGTCCAGGGGACTTCCCTGCTTCTGCAGCAGACGACTTAAAAGCAGCTCGCGTGTTTGTACGCCGGGCAGTGAGACATAGACGCGCTTGGTGAACCGACGCAGCGCAGCTTCGTCCAGCTCTTGCGGTCGATTGGTAGCTGCCAACACCACAATGCGATCTCCCTCCGGATTACCAGGTAGCCCATCGAATTCGACCAGGAATTCGGTTTTAAGGCGACGCGACGCCTCATGCTCGTTGCTGCTGCGCTCCGAGAGCAGCGAGTCGACCTCATCAATAAATATTATCGATGGCTGCATGTGACGGGCCACCGCAAAAAGTGCGCGCACCAGTTTCTCACCATCGCCCACATACTTGCTGGTCAGCGAGGCGGCCGAGATGTTTAGGAATGTGGCGCTGCACTCGGTGGCCACGGCGCGCGCCAACAAAGTTTTGCCATTGCCGGGCGGTCCGAACAGCAGCAGACCCTTGGCCGGTGCGCGCAGGCCTGCGAAAGAACGAGTTGTTGTTAAGCATATGCTCTACTTGAAGAGAATGTAGCTTACCTGTAAAAAGCTCGGGACGCACGGATGGCAATATGACCATCTCTTGTAGCGCTTGCTTGGCCACATCCTGGCCGGCAATGTCGGACCACTCCACCTTGGCGCCACCCTCAACAATCTCGTCGAGTATCAGCTGCACCAGTTTCTGCTCCACGCCCTTGACGCTGATCATTGGCGTGCTGGCCCCGCTGCCACTGCCGCTGGCCGCATTGTTGTTAATGGGCGTGCGTGAGCGCTGCGGCGGCGTATTGCGGCCGGATGACTGCGTGGATTATATATAGTTTATAGAAGTCTGATATGTCTTGTGTCTCGTGACTTACAAATTGGCGTCGCACGGCCGGCGGAGTAGCTGCCGTTTTGCCTGGCTGACGCTGCAAAGCGGCGCCCACCGAGGTCGAGGTTGTCTTCGAGCCGAGATTACGTGGCAGCGTTTGTGACTTATTGGCCACGGCCAGATTGCCGGGTCGCTTGTTGCCAATGGTCAGTTTACGCCCAGAAGCTGCATACGAGATGAGAGTTTGATTAATATGCGCTGCAAAGATTGTGGCTACGGCCTTACGAGCTATAATTTTGTCTAGACCAAATCAAAAGCTAATTATAAGAACTCAAATTCAAACTAAAAATCATGCGGTGCTTGAAGTGGAAATGCGAGAGTGTGAGGAAAATGTTGCAGTCGTTGGTAATTTAATTATCATTATTATTATTGTTGTTGCTGTTGCTGTTGTTGTTGTTGTTGTCGCTCTTACTGGACTGTGTGCTATAGCTTTGATTGTTGCTGTTGCAGTCGTTTTAAAGTTTACGGCACTTACCCGCTGGCACGGCTTTGGATGTGGTTGCGCCGCCCGTTTTGGGTCCGTAGCCGCTGCTGCGCAGTGTTATTTTCGGTGGATCAGCGCTTGCTCTGCTGCTACTGCTGCTGCTGCTGCTGCTGCTGGTGGTTTGACCCACCAGCATGGGTTGCTTAAATTTGTGCGGCAGCTGCTTCTTGGGCTGCTCCTTCAGGGACAAACGTTGCATTTGCAAATCTTCTTCACGCAAAGCTGCGGGCAAATGTACGCGAATGAAGGGCCAGGGGGTATGGGCGGGGACACAACGAAAAATAATATGTGCAAACACAAAACGACAAACACAGGTGCAAAACAAAACAAAACAAAACAAAAAAGAAAAAAACCAAATAATAAATAAACGATTACACTACGCTCGTGGGCGGAGCATTTATGGATGCAGCAGCTACTCACCGAGAAAGTGCAGACGATCGCGGGCCATGGAGAGATTGGTTTGCATTTTCTCATGCAAGCGCTGGGCCCGATCCCAGACATCGCCGCGTCCGCTCCAGCAGTCAACGGCAATGCCATCCTCCAGCTCCTTGATGCCCTTGCGATACAGCTCAATGGCCAGCTCTTTGTGGCCTGCAGGATTAAACAAAAGCAAAAGCAAAATGTCAAAGAAAGTATCAATAACAGAGTGCACTTGTGCAACTGTGTGCGAGTGTGTGTGTGTGTGGGCGGCTATTGATTTACAGCGGAGAGTTGGAGAGGAGAGTTGGATGCGAGTAGAGTTTTTTTTATCGTGACACGAACATTTACATAAGACATCGTGCCGCTGTTATTGACCTCTTTAGCAGGACAAACACGGATAAGCATCGATACTAAAGAGGATGTAATTGTATATGTATGCATAATGTATATGTATATGTAATTAGTGCTTCCTAATTGTGCTTCGTGCTCGTGTCGTGTCACGTCGTGCTAGATGAATGCAACACGAGCCTATCTCTAGCTCGTACAACAGACACGACAACAAAGCGCGCGCTGCGTTCGATGACTCATGAAGCACCACTCCAGCAGCCGCAATCACAAAGCAACCCCATATGAGGCTTACCTTCGTTCTCCTCGTCAATTTTGAGCGCCTTGGAAATGTACTCGAATGCGCGTCGATGATGATGTTTTTGCTTGGCCAGCAACGGATCACCGGGACCAGGTGAATAGCCACCAGGACCAGCACCACCACGACTGGCTGCCATTTCAAGGGTCTGGAGTGCGCGTTGTCGCTGGGGCAGAATCTGTGCCTGTTCGATGTTGACACCGCTGCCCTCCAATGGACAAATGATTGCCTGCTGCTCCTTTGAGTTCTGGACAACAATCTCAATGTTGCAGTCGCGTCGATGGGGACTGCGATAGATCACCTTTGTGCTGGCGCCGTACAAATATCGAAAAATGCAGAACAGCTGATAAATCAGAGAGCGCAATACGTTGAACAGAAATATAATGGGAAATGAAACAACGTAGAGATTTTGCTTGTGCACCGATGTTCCGCCTCGCGGCACGTTTCCACTGGTTGGCGTCAAATCCGCATCGGTGGTGTCGTCGTCTGGTGAACTGCCCGGTGTTGTTGTTGTTGTTGTTATCGTTGTTGTGGTACGTTGACGATTCGACGACAGCTTCGAACTGGACTTGCCGTCATCGATTAAGGCTTCACTGCAGTTGCGACTGCGATTGGTGCTGCTGCTGCCGCCGCCTCCGCTGATCTTGACCGGCGATTTGGTGCTGCTGCTAGCGCTGGACGAGGACGATTGGTTTTTGGTGCGTACCATCGATATTGATTCCGCGCCGCAGCACCCCAAACCTGACTATTTTCTAAGCAATCTCTCTTTTCGCAACACCTTCCGCCACCGCCTCCACCCCCATCGACTGAGAATCGAAGTTTTGCCTCACTCTTCTTCTCTGCTTTCACAGCTCGAGACACAAAGACACTAAAACCAGAACGCGAACGCGTACACGATTAAATAATGACTGAAAACAAATAAACTGAAATGGAACACACGACGCGCGCTATTTGTTGTTTAATTGTTGTTGCTCATTTTTCTATATGTATTTATTGAGCGCCGTTTTTTGTGCCGTTTCAACTCGCCAAACAAATTTTCTCCGTCTCCGTCGTTGACGTAGTTGCCAGACGGCTTGAGTTTTACAAATTTGAACATTATTGAAACATCAATAGATCAGCAAACGCTGTTTTTAGATATAATAGCTGTGTAAATTAAATATAGTTTGATTTTAAGGTCAGCAAATGCAACAAACATTAATCACAACTTGATTATTTTCAAATAGGCAATTGGTCCGGCAGCACCACATGGGTTGTTCTAGGGTTGTTGTCGCTTTGAAAATTTCGATGTTTTGAGGTATCGATACGCGTGTCTTTATAAAAAACAGCTGCCGTCTCGGCTGTATCTGCGGTTTTTGCATAACAAAATCTTTTAAAATTACCGTACAACCCACAAGAGAAAGTAATCAAAATTGCAAAAAAGAATAAACGGAAACGTAAAGCGATAAGCGTTGTGTACTTACAAAGAGAATAACAAAACAATAAAATGGGACAATACACGGCGTCGCAGCGCAAGAACGTGAGAATTTTACTTGTCGGCGATGCTGGAGTTGGCAAAACATCGTTAATATTGTCCCTGGTGAGCGAGGAGTATCCAGAGGAGGTGCCGCCGCGCGCCGAGGAGATCACAATACCGGCAAACGTAACGCCCGAACAGGTGCCCACCAATATCGTTGACTTTTCGAGTGTGGAGCAATCGGATGACGCACTGGCCGTCGAGATAAACAAAGCGCATGTCGTTTGCATTGTGTACGCCGTGGACGATGACGACTCTCTCGACCGCATTACATCGCACTGGCTGCCCCTGGTCCGCTCCACATGCAACAGCAATAGCTCCAACGCAGACGGAGAGCCCGATGTGGCGCGCAAGCCAATTGTGCTGGTCGGCAATAAAATCGATTTGATCGAGTATTCGACCATTGACAGCGTTCTGGCCATTATGGAGGACTATCCAGAGATCGAGAGCTGTGTGGAATGCTCAGCGAAGACGTTGCACAACATTTCTGAAATGTTTTACTATGCACAAAAGGCGGTGCTGCATCCCACCTCACCGCTGTACATCATGGAGGAGCAAAATGTAAGTGCGTTCCGGCTGAATTATTGCTCTAGGAGACGCTTTAACATCTTCATGCTTATACCCTTGCAGAGGGTACTATAACTTTGATAGAAAATGGCAAGCAGACGTCTTCAATCCCATGAAAGCATACATATATATGATGATGTACGTCCGTATAATCATGCTCTTCTGTCTCTCTGTTACGATGGCATCTAGTCTTCGGCATAGATTTGCCTTTTGTGGCGCAGGCGCAGCCAAGACGGACCCCTAGGACGATAAGTCGCAAATTGATATCCTTTTAATGGAACACTTCAAGTCCTCTTAACTTGACAAAGTAGCATCTGCTCCTAAAACCCACGCACAATCGCCTCATCATCAAATACTCTGTCACATAGTTCCCTCTTGGATTAATCCAAGCCAACAAATGCAATTTGTTTATGCACAATCCTAAGATCTTAACCCAACTAGACATACTCTTAAATATTCCTATTCATTTCTTTATCGAAGTTCTAAAACCTTCCTCTAATAGATAAAATCTGAAAATGTAGTTGAACAGACTAAACGACTGCAAGCGTATTTGGTCTTCGGCTCTCCGAAGATAACTCAAAATTAACTTTATCAGAGTGCATATTAAGATTATTTAACCTTTAACCCGAAGATAAGTTATTAATTTGCAAATTCAATTTGTTTTCAGCTAACACCTGCCTGCAAGAAGTCGCTGGTGCGCATATTTAAGATATGCGATATTGATAGTGACAATCTGCTCAATGATTACGAGCTGAACCTGTTCCAAAGGCGCTGCTTCAATACGCCGCTGCAGCCACAGATACTGGACGAGGTGAAGTCCGTGATACAGAAGAATGTGCCGGATGGCATCTATAACGATGCCGTAACGCTTCAGGGCTTCCTCTTTCTGCACTGCCTGTTCATACAGCGTGGCCGGAACGAGACGACGTGGGCGGTGCTCCGACGGTTTGGCTACAACGATCAATTGGAGATGTGCAAGGAGTATTTGCGGCCGCCTTTGAAAATACCGCCGGGCAGCAGCACGGAGCTTTCGCATCGCGGCCAACAGTTTTTGATAGCGGTCTTCGAGCGCTACGATCGCGATGGAGACGGTGCCTTGTCGCCGGAGGAGCACAAAATGTTATTCAGCACTTGCCCAACGCCACCGTGGTCCTACTCGACGGACATACGCAAATCGTGTCCAACCAACGATAACGGCTGGGTGACCCTGCATGGCTGGCTCTGCCGCTGGACACTAATGACACTGACGGACGTGGTCAAGACGCTGGAGTATTTGGCCTATTTGGGCTTCAATGTGCACGAGAACGACAGCCAACTGGTGGCCATACATGTGACACGCGAGCGCCGCATCGATCTGGCCAAGCGGCAGAGCAGTCGCTCCGTGTACAAGTGCCATGTGATCGGACCCAAGGGTTCGGGCAAGACTGGACTGTGTCGCGGTTTTCTCATCGACGACATGAGCAAGCTGCTGGGCAAGGAGTTCAAGACCAATGTTGTTCACTGCATCAACTCGGTGCAGGTTTATGGCCAGGAGAAGCATTTAATATTGCGCGACATTGATGTGCGACATGCGCTTGATCCGCTGCAGCCGCAGGAAGTGAATTGCGATGTCGCCTGCCTGGTTTACGATGCCTCCAATCCGCGCTCCTTTGAGTATGTCGCACGCATTTACATTAAATACTTTGCCGAGAGCAAAATACCCGTCATGATTGTCGGCACCAAGTGTGATCTGGACGAGCGTCGCCAGGACTATCTGATGCAACCGTCGGAATTCTGTGAGAAATACAAGCTGCTGCCGCCGCATCTGTTCAGCCTAAAGACCAACAAAAAGGAGCTATACACAAAGCTGGCCACAATGGCAGCGTTTCCGTGAGTATTCAAATGCTTTCCCCAGTTGGGATTTACGGTCATTCAAGGAGCACGCTCATCAGGCTTGGGCTTGGGTTGTTGTTACACTTTCATCTGTATCTGGCATATATTTGGATTAATGGCTATATTATTATTATCTTCTCTTATTTCCCTCCTTCCCAATTAACCACTACGTCTTTGTGTTGGTGTACTTGTTTGTGTTTTGTTGATGTTTGTGCATCCTTAATGCTTTTGGACTCTGCTGCTCTGCGCCGTGGACTTGCTGCCTCTCCCCCGTAGGCGCTTTCAAGCCGCCTGGATACTGTTCTACAAGCACAGGTTGGTACAGCTGTGGGAATCGGCGTAAGTGTTACATATTTAACTTAAATATTTACTAATGCTGTCTTGGTTTCTTGTTATACTATATTCTACATGCATTGCGACAGTAATTCCATCCCCATCTTCCGCACAAAAACACGCCCAAACACACGCTTATTTAAATGTGTTTCTTGTATGCAACAACATATTCCCAAAACCCCAATTATATCTACTGAATTTGTAGCTGAAACTAATCAATAATTTGTTTACAACATTCTCTTAGATATTTGCGACAATTTGGACTCATGACAGAGGATCCAAAGGTTTGGCTAAAAGCCGGACTGGGCGTGGCCGCCGCCACGCTGCTCGGCTTCATGGTGCTGAAGGCGATAAGTGCAACTGGAACGCATTCACGTTGAGGATTTGGATAGATGACACCAACTCGTAACTGCCCAGGCAAACAGCGCACACACACACACCTACACACACCTACACACACACACACACATATATATATATATATATATATAGATATACACACCAAATGTTCAGAAATTGATGTAACCTTCGTGTATTTTCGTTTGACTTTTTTCCCTTCATTTCTGATCTTTATAATATCAAAATTTCTTGTTTAAAATACCAAGTCATGTACATAAGAAGCTACACACAGGCAAAGGAAACACTTGTTTGAGGGTATTACAATGCAGGGGATTGCACAGACATACACACACACAGTTCATACGTTGCATTTCTACAAGCATATGCATATATATATATACATGTGTCTATATATATATATATATGTATGTATATATATGTATAATATAAACCTTAACGCTGTACTCTCCGATAAGTCTTATTAGTTTACGTCCTATTTATGCCCATTAGCTATCACGCATCTAATGCCGTGATTATCATCGTATCTAACTAGCTGTTCTATGTACTATATATAAATACATAGATTTAATATATATAGATAAAGATACCCATTATTCATTTAGCGCGCCGACACCTGTAAATACGCGCAAAGTCCCAATGAGCAATAAAATCTATTTAAATATTTACTTTAATCTTAACGTACTCGTATTTATAAAAACCTGGATAACATATGATCCTTGTCCGTGTATTGTGTTTAATTTTTAATTGCATTTACTGCCGCCGCCGTGGGCGACATGCAGTTGCCGTCGGGATAACGCTTTTGGAACTGGGTAATCAGCTCGGGATCGACCAGACGTATGCCGTCCAGCTGATTGCCCAGCGTTATCCAGTTGGGCTGTATGTTGTGCGGCCGGCCGAAGAGCTCGATTTTTCGTGTGCCCGGACTGAGGCGCTCGATGATGCCGTAGATCTCGTCGGGCTTGTGGCTGGTGGCGCGCACCTCCGCCACAATGACATCGCAGTCGAGGCCGCGATTTAGATTTGTGGGATTGCCCTTCATGCCGACCAGACAATGCTCCTTGCCGTGATTCAGCCAGTGACCGGTGCGACCCGTGCGTATAATGCGCTGCAGCTGATTCGTTTTCACCCAGATCAGCTCGTCGACGCGCTCGTAGCCCCACAGTTTGAGGCAATCGCGACCCAGTTCCATGGCACGCCCAGTTACCCAGAGAAATATGAGACCCTCCTCCTGCAGCGCTGGTATGCCCAAGGCGCGCATCTCGTCGTCGGACATGGTGCCATAGGGCAGCTCCATGTGTATGTCCCATGGAGGATCGGCCATAACGACAGCAAATTTGCCCAGCACAGTCATGTCCAGAAATCGCAGATCGCACTGTATCCACTGGGGCGGATACAAAGTGCAGCTGGAGTCAACGCTGCGCTTCAGGCTGAGCTTGGTCTTCACATCCGTCGGCTTATTGGTATTAATGTGCGGCAGCGTGTCCACCTCATAATGGACGTACTTGCAGGTGGCCATGTGGAAACAGGTATTAAGGAAACTGCAATCGCCCAGGGACTCGTCCGTGTGCGACTGAATGATTTTCTTAAAGTGCAGCTTTGTGCATTTGTCCGAATCGCCGGAGGTCTCGCTGTCATCCGTGGACTCCTGCGATTCACCCTCACAGTTATTGAGGGTATCGGCAATGATTTCACCATCTTCGGCATCGTCGGTACCCAGCTTGGCCAGCTTGTTGCTGCCAACGGACACATCGGCGCCGCGCAGTTCCTTTTCCTCGCGACGTTCGAGTTTCTTCTTGGCCGCCATCTCGTTGGCCACCTGCTGTGCCTTGAGGCACTCGACCTTGGTGCCATGTGAGCAAAACTCCATGACTTGTGCACCGCCATGAGATTTAAACTTTTCTGCTACGGAGCGCTCCTTGGCCGTTGGCTTCGTCAGCAGCTCGAGAATCTCCTCGCCAACCTGTTTGCTCTGTTTCTCGCGCGTCGAGGGCAGGGATAGCAGCATCATGATGTCATCTGAGGCATCCAGACTGGTGGACTCCTTGCGGCCGGCACCTGCATCAACTTTTAGCATTTTACACTGCAAACGTTCAGCATCGCTCAGCTCATCCTGCCCAGACTCTACTGCTGGGTAGTTGGGTATTAGTTGGAATTATATTGGATTTTCAGGCAGTTGCTTACACTTTCGCTTGACATCCTTTTCCTCATTCTGCTGGCAACTGTCGTTGACATCGTCATAGATCTCCAACAGCTCCTTGGTTTGCACGGAAATCACCTCGTAGCCGGCTTCTGTGCCAATTGTGACATTCCTTATGCCAATGGCGCCTTGATTGGCCAGCTTGCCCAATATGAAGTTAACCATTTCCATGGTTGGCGGCTTCTCCATGAGGCCGCCGACTTTATTTACCACCTGTGTAGAGACAATTGGCAGCACCAGAGTGCTGGCACTGAGCGCCTGCAGTACTGCCTTTTGCACCTCGACATCGGCCTCAACTAAAACACTTATTTAATATATTTAATTGTACTTGTTGTCGGCTTGCCGCTTACCGAGCTCTTTTTTTGGATTGGATTGATCCTCCTGTTTGTCTGATAGTATGTCGAAGCGTTCCTTCTTACGCTTCTCCAGCTTTTCGCGCAACGTATTTCGTTTTGTCTTGAGCGACTTTATGTCCCACGCATCAGCCATTATTTGTTAGTTTTCTTTGTGTTGCCGGAAAATTGTCTTTTGTTTACATCAAAAACTATGATATGAAAGATGATGAAGCCCTGGCAGCATCGGCGATAAGTTATCGATAACATTCAGTGTTGGTAAATGCAGACAATACTCTGTTACGGCTGAGTAAGCTATTGTGATTTGTTGCCAAAAAAACAATTCTAGTTTTAAATATTAGCCCTATTCTTTGCATAACTAGCTATAATATAAGATAATGTTTAACTATATTTTGCTATTTTACAATGACTTGCATTCACAAAAATAAGCTATTTAGCATTTTGCCAAAAGCTGTTTCCAGTCACTGTTAACAACATTTCGTAGCTGTTAAGTTGTTGTTTGCTGTTGCCTGTGTGTGTTAGTGTGCTGCTGTTAGTATGGGTTTATCTGAACGAGCAGCGGACGTTGTAGATGGTTCCGCGATTTTTTACTCAATAAAACGTGATAAAATTAAGTAAATAACAAATGAGAGAATTTCTGTGTGAAAACATAAACGATGTGCATTAATATTTAAATTAAAAATTGTAGAAGGTGCTACTGCTGTTGTTGCTGCTAAGGCGCTCTCCTACATTTGTAGGTATATATACACACACACACACATATATATATAAAGTCACTCATTGGGCCTTTTGTTTCCTTTTGTTTATGCGCGCGTAGGAGAGCATAAAATGCGCGAATAAACACACGAACAAGCAGAACACGGACACAAAATTTGCAAAAAGCGCCAACGTTGTGTGAGTGTGTGTGCTCGTATGTGTAGTGTGTGTGTTTGCGTGTGGGGGAGTGCGCACATTGTTATTGTTGCCGCTTGCGCTCTTGACGCGCCCCAGCAACGGGCTTGTTGCTTACCGAATTTCTCTCTTTCCCACTCTCTCGCTCACTCACTCTGTTTTCAGCATGCGAATTGAGTGACTGTGAGAAATTTATAACGCGACATTCGCACGGCTACTTTGGAGCATGACGGTTGTTTCTGTTTCTCCAACGGCATAGCACACAACGCGTACGTGCGGTTAGAGCTCTAAGCTGCTCCCCTAGACGCTCCAGCGAAATCAGTAAAATTCTGTAACAGATTCAAATTGGGTGCCAGCTAAAAAAGTGGTGTTATTGATTCTCTGTGTGCGTGTGTGTGTGTGTGAGTGTGAGTTTTGCAGTTGCAGCAGCGCTTGGCGCTTGCTTTGCCTCTGTCTCTTCTCGTTTCGTGTGCACCGCCCCTTCCCGCCCGCCTGCTCGTTTTCGTTTTGAATGCGTCGTGATTCTGTGTATACCACGAATAACACTTTGTTGACCGTTAAGGGCGAGCAGCACAGCAGGCAGCCAGCAGCTGGCGCGCCCCACAACAGCAGCCGCCCAATCGCTGCAACGGCAAAGATATTAAACAAAAAGTGCAAAAGAAATCTTGTATGTACATACACACTGGATGTACGTTAAAAAAAAATAAAGCTTGCCACGCTCCAAACGCTACTTTCGAAAAAAAAATATATATAAGAAATTCAGCTACATAATACGAAAGAACATAAAATCTAATTTAACTGTAACTATATATATTTTGCTAGATTCATAATGTGCCACAGAAATTAACAGCAAATACACAACATACAATAAACAACAATAAAAAACCACAACAAAAATAACAACAGCAATAACAACAAATTCACCATGAAGATGGTGGACAAATCTTCAAAATTGATGGATAAATTTGTCGCCAGTGGCAGCGGCGGCGGCGGCGGCGGCTCAGCTTCAGCGGCAGCAGCGGCCAATGCAGCTGCCGTCAGCGCTGCATCAGCCACAGCGGCGGGCTTAGCCAGCGGCATCGGTGGCGGCGGCGGTAGCGCAGGCGGAGGCTACGGCGCTGGCAGCAGCAATATGACAAGCAACGGACAAAAGCCGGTGCCTATGAAACTCTTCGCCGCCTGGGAAGTCGATCGAACGCCGCCCAATTGCATACCAAGGTGAGTGCAAGAACAATATTAACATAAGAGAGCAAAAGAGAGCGAGAGAGCGGGAGAGATGGCAAAATATCGTTGCATTAAAAAAGGCAATGCCATAAAATATATCAAATACATTTGTGTGTGCATAAAACAGGGCTGCAAAACAACAAAAATTCTTGGTGGTTCGGTTCAGATTGAACAGCGAACCAAATTCCAGACTTTAGGTTCGGTTCGCGCAACTTATACGAATTTTGTTTCTATTATATTGTTTTTCATATTTAAAATTCAAAGATTTCATGTTTTAATTTAAAGTAAACATTTGCCCTGACATTACATTGAACTGTTAACAGATTGGTTTTTAACATAAGAAAATTCTGTAATTTCTTGAACATATCTTTAGGGAGGACCACAAACTGGAAAGCTGTCGGCAAAAGTATTTAATTGTCGGCACTTTGAAGCCAACAATTCTTGTTAACATACATTTTGTTTGCTTTTCTTTCTATTGTTGGCCGCAACAATAATTGCACTGTCTGGCATTTTTGTTACTCTTGTTTGGCTTTTCTTTGACTTGACATTCATGTTCTTCTTGTTATTATCTTGTTTATTGGGTCCTGTGCTAGTGACCCCCAAGTGAGATTAGTTTTAGCTTAATACCAATTTGTATTTGCCCAATTCGAGTGAGTCACATGCAGATATAAAATATGAGATACAAAGATGTGGCGCATGTTTACACACAGATAACGCAATTCTATTTTTTGCCTCGTGCCCTTTTTTTTCTACTTTTAATATCAATGCGCAATTTCTTTGCACTTTGCTCAAGAATCAATTTATGTGCCGAATATATGATTAGACACCGAACATATTTGTCCCAATCTTGTAAACAATTTGCGTACGCGTCGTGTACTTTGTCGTAGCATATTCTGGCTGCTAAAATTGGATTTGACAGCTTTGAGTTAATTTATGCACAGACGAGATTCTGCCAGGTCCATCCACATAAGCTAGAGATACTCTCAGAGACTCCAAATCCATTTATATGCTTTTTCAGCTTGGGGTTTTTATATAATATACCTTCTCCTTCTCGTCTTATCAAAATTTGTAGGCTTTATGATTCACAGATAAACCAATTTGAAATTCCTGAGGATTTCAAAAAGAACCGACTGTAAATACAAAAGTTATTCAAGAACAAATTTCATATGTGAATAGGCTAAATGCTGGGTATCTGCCAGTCGGGCACGTTTTACGTTTGGTTTGCCTCAGCTGAAAAGGTCATGCACGGGTTGAATCTGCTTTATCTGTCGGGCCACATTGTTTTTTTTTTTTTTCGACTACGTTGTTTGTTTATAATTATGCGCTCGCTTGAAGCCCGCCTAAAATTAGAATCTAAGGGAACATTGCGCAAACACATTTTGATATCAGCTTCGACTGACATTTGCCAAGTGTGAAAAGCAAACTTTTCCCTTGTAGGTCGATTTGCTGCTCCAAACGACCTTTAGTCCACACAACTACTTCAGCCTGTCCGTTTTTATGTGAATCGGTTTGGTATTTGACTGCGGCACGTACGGGATTATGGCCGGGTATTAGGGCACGCGACATTAATGCAACAAACTGTTACTTCAACTTTGGTTGGCCAAAAGTACGTGCAGCAAACTGGCCCGAAACTTGTTCGACTTGTCGACTGACATTTAATTCAAATCAAATGCTTTGCTAGCACAGATTACCACAAATTTATTTTGGCCAATGGTTCCTCTTTCTTTCCTTTCCTCTTTTTTTTAGCAAGTAACAAGCAGCTTGAAATAAAACGTACATGTATTATTCATCAAGTTATGAGTAGCATTTATAGGGCCACAAACATTCGTATTTATCTGCATACAAAAAAAATATATGCCACACATGTAAATTTATCAATTCCATCCCAGTAAGAGCATAAAGTGGCATATATACACAAGGCAGCCACAATTTCTGCTAAGTAGTATTATCTAAGATGGTTTTATAGGGCATAAACATACTGTTTGAGATAGAGTAAAAGGAAATATCAATGTCAATCTATATCAATATGCACGAAACATGAAACGGTTAGTTGTTGGTTACTTAATTTTATGAAAATCGCGTAGAAAGGCGATATTTTGAGGGAAAAGCCAGCAAGTGAATTGACGCGTGAGAGATAAATAGAGAGTGACAAATAATTAAAAATATTTTTCTCAGAACATAAATCGCATCCATTAAAATTTGACTATTGTGTAATTAATAATTGTAACCCGCTTGACGTATGAAGGCTGTTTCGATATCTTTAAATAGATCTGTTTGGAACAGATCTAAAAATTTCTTTGTAGTTCCCAAGCAGTTAAGACAGAATATTCAATTTTCTTTAAACTAACATTAATTACATTAAAAATGGAATGCTTCCTTATTCCAAGTTCCAATTACATTGTCAATAACCCTATTACTTCTAATATATTCTAAAAATTGCATTTGTCTGGCCTTTTCTTTCTTAGACACATTCTTTATGGTTTTCAAGTCAGATAAGATCTCAAATCCAGATTATGTATCCAACAATATATGTATATCTGATAACTGAGAGGACAGGAAAGATTTTAAGCTGTGCCCTGGCTAAGATTGTGGGTCTTTCTTTTATAGCTTGGGCTAGGTTCGATTTTGTTGCATCCTTAATCTTATCTTTAAATGTGCGCCGACAATTATTTATACGCAATTTATTTACAATTAACGTGTGGCCATAAACGAAATATTTGCGAGCACATGACGGATCAACATGATTTTAAGCGTACGTATGATTTTACACATATATATATATATATTATATCTATGTTTATGTGTAGTAGAATACATGTTTATATTTGCTTTAGCCATCTTCTCATGGGGTTTTTCGGTGTGTGTTTAAAAATAGATCGCCTGGCGACAATTTCTTTTTGATAAACTCTGAGCAACAGCATTTCCCCAATGTGAATTTTGTAAACAAGCGGCAATGTTTTTACTATAGATTAATTAAAAGCCAACAGCCAAGCAGAATTAGCCGAATGACATACTTTATCTTGCAGATACATTTGATTTTTCTTCAGGTATTTGTAGCTGCAGCAGGAGGGGCGTGGTCTCTACGTATTTGTGTGTGTGTGTGTGTGTGTGTGTATCTACGAGTAGAATTTAAAAAACACGACACGCGGCAACAGTTGTTCAGCTCAAACACTCTTCCCAGAGGCGATTACATTAGCTATAAGCTAAAATTCGCAACACGAAAGGATTGCAAGAATTCCTCTTATGATCATGGAAAATGGGTGGAATTCGAGAATTCCGCTCATGAGCATGAAAAATGGGTAGAAATGGATTTGCGATGAATTCCAAGAATTTCTCTCACAAGCATGGAAAATGGGTGGAAGTCGATGTGTGGAAATAAATTATTTTTGATCGGCTTCAAACAAAGCAAAAACTGTTACTCGCCAGTTTAATTTGTACTTATATAACTTCGATCCTATAGGCTTACTCTGATTTTACTTATCAAGTATTCCATATATTATAAACATTTCTCATTCGTTGAGATGCACAGGGAAAGGTATATATTGTAAGGGTATCTTTTTTTTGGCTATGCCAAATGAAAAGAAGACTTTTTTCTAAATATTGTTTTTGATGCGCATGTTGCCCACCAAATTTTAGCCTTGAACTTTTTGTTTGTGCTTAGCAACAACAACAAAAACAACAACAACAACAGCGGAGCACAACCTCAACAATAGCAAGATATACACAAGCTAGTATATATATATAGATATCTTTGCATCTACAAACTTTTATAGATACTCAAGTGTGTGTGTGTGTGTGTGTACATTTGACAAATTGCATAGAAATTTCACTGCAGCAATGTCTGCTGCATTAGCGATGTTTTTGTTGTTATTTTTGTTATTTGCCATTTAGACAAAAACATTTTGCACTCAATTTGCGCTGCTTTTATGACCTTTGTTGTCGTCGTTGTTGTTGTTGTCGTTGTTGTTGTTGTTGTTGTTGCTTTAATCTGCAGCTACTGCAATGCGTTTCAAATTGATTTTTGTTTGATTTTGTATGGAATTTACTGGCTGATGATTCATCAGAAAGGGGCTCGGCATACAATCTATATGCCCGACTGTGCAGTATACTAGGTATTCGTGGGCGTGGCAAAAATAATCATCGCTTAATATTAGATTGGTTACCCGGTAAAGCAGCAGCAGCTGCTGCCCAGATGAACTTCGCCTATTTTCTTATGTCATATTAAACAAAAATAAAGCAATACAAACATTTTAAATACAATTCTTAACTAGATATTTGAGCTCAAAATTCCCAGCTACAAAGTTATTTTATAACGTAAGCTAATTAAATATTATAGTAAATATTGAATATAATCATAAATTAAAAACAATTTTGAATAGCTAGTATTTTTTTTAAGAATATTCATTGCAGCATGATAAATATGTAGAAAAAATATGTATACCTACATAAGTAGTACGAAGTTATTTATATTTCCGTAGAAGTTATTCATTCAAAATTCTAGATTTTATAGATTCCTAATTCGTTCAGTAAACCAATCGACTTTATTCTCTCTCAATCGAAAAGAATGTTTGAATTGCGAAATGCCTCTGATGTGATCTTCTAATTGAATTGATTCCAAGCCACATTGACTAACCGATTGCGTTGCTGACCCAAATACCAAAAGCCCGTTGCTGCAGGCGTAACAAATTCGAGCCCGGCTTGGCTCACATTTCTCCGCAGGGGCCAAAGGGTTGGGGAAAGAGGGAGGCATAAGCGCATTTGCCGCTTAAAAGTTGGCGTTAGGTTAATGCTAATGCATTTTCACCGGCCAGCTGGAAAATCTCTGTGGTCATTAGGGCCGACAGCTTGCTATGGAAGGAGGGGAAGAGTCAATTAGAGTGAAAGAACGACAGCTGGCCAGTGTCTGGGGAAAGAGAGAGAGAGAGAGAGGGAGGTAGAAAGAGATGTAGGGGGAGGGGGACTGCGTTCTGAACAAAACTGAACAAAGCATGAAA